AAGTTACAGATCATAAAGTGGCTTTTCTCGCAGGGCCCGGCAGGCCCGGGGCGGGCCTGCTTTTTTTAGCTCCTTTTGCTCTGTAACTCTGTTCATAGACAAGATACAGTATTCCAAATATAACCGTTTTGTAGACCTCGTGGAGCTCTATCATATCTAATTGAGTTGGTTCGAAAACATTGATTCTGAAAGGAATTATGGCAGGGCCCGCGAAGGCCCGGCAAAGGCCCGGATTACAAGTATGGGGATAATAACATTTTGATCACTGATTTTCAGATCAGAAGACAATTTTTATGAGAAAGCAGATGAAAAAAAAATCAGAAATCATTTAATTATTTGTACCAAAAATTATGCTTTTTGTCGAAAATTGTTTTTCAATTTTGATTTTTTTAAATGTTTTTAATACCAAAAAAAATACCAAAAAAAACGAAATACCAAAAAAAATACCAAAAAAAAACAAAATGGGTTGAAATAGCAGATTTTTAATTTCAAATTGCAAGCTTAGCAGAAAATCAGAGAATAATTAAATATGACGAAAATATGGAGGAGGAGATAATTAGCTAGGATAATTACTAGGTTTGCAATTTTTGACGTAATCCGTCTGCAAAAAAGACATTCATAATTTCAGGTTCTTCAAAAAATGATTAATTTTGAAAAAAAAAACATCACGCAAAACTCAATTAAACTCAAAAAAAATCTAATATTCCAATCCATTTTTCAAAATTTTTGAAATTTTGGAAAAAAATTGAAAAAAATGATAAGAAAATTGTTGATCATTTTTCAGAATTTTTTTTCGGGTTTTGAGTCAAAAAAATATATACAAAGAAAACATTGAATCATAGTCAGAAAACTATGCTGCTCATTATTTTTAAAAAATTACAGAATACGTAAAAAACAAAAATTTCAGTTTCAATAGATGATTCAGAAAATTTGAGGTCAAAAAATGACTTTCGAGAAAAAAGTTGTAAATCAGAAAAAAAAATACTCAATACAGCTTTCTGAAACTTTCTAAAATCATTTAAGAGCTTTCGAGAAAATAACACAAAAATTATTCTAACAATTTTGAAAAACAGAAAAAAAGAAAATCCTGAAATTCGAAGAAATCTAAAAAATCCAAAAATTAAAACCTTCAGTAAAATTGAAAAATGATCCGAAAATAAAGGTTATTGACTCTGAAAATTTTGAAAACCATGACCAAAAAATCAAAAAAGGAAAACTTGACTATTCAACCAGAAATCAAAAAAAACTACCTGGAACACCTGATAAATTATTTTTCGTTCAAAAAAAAACAACTCATCTCTACAAATATGTTTTTTTAATTACTGAAAAAAGTTCAAAACCTCATTTTTATGGGTTTTCAATCTTTGAATTTTAAAAAATGTCTTTATTGATTCTTGAGAAAATCTTTTTTTATATCCAATACAAGGAAAAACACTTCTTGACCTGAAAAATCGTCAGGAACTCAATTTTTCTCCTGAAATTTAATTATATATGTTTAGATAATTGAATTCCAACGACACGTTTTTGCGGGGGAATCATGTCTGGTTATTTGAGATTTTTTGATGTAAGACGGTTGAAATTTGAAGAATTTTTTTGCATTTATAGAAACATCTCGAATTGATGATTTCATGTACCATGTAGCATTTTTTTTCAGTTTCACCAGATGTCTGAATTTTCTGTACAAAAATTATGAATATTCCAGAAATTAGTCAAAGTTATAGAAAATGTTTATTTGATGGATCTGAAAATAATCTTGAACAGAAAAATAGGTGGACAAATTAAAATTGGACAGTGTGCACAGTTGGGACAGTGGTAGTAGTTTGCTCAAATCCGGGTGACAACCAATCTTCCTGCATTTTGAACTTCTTGATGCTCTGTGCCTTATTTTCTTCTACAGGTACAGAATCGGTTTGTCTCCCGATTTTGTACTTTTTTAAAGGAAAAAGTGGTCACGCTAAATTTAAGTATTATTTGAATTGTGCCACGAGGTACAAAATCGGTAGGCATACCGATTCTGTACCTAGTGAAACAGTTCAAATTTTCTCTGATTTCACGCGTCTTTTTGTGGATTTTGAAACATTACTCATGAAATCCGATTTTGAACCAATTTTTTGATCGGCACTAACTTTCTACAATACGCTTATTTGGGTGAGAGTAATATCTGAAATTTTGGATATTTTAAAGCTAATCCGGCGTTAACAGTAAGTAAATACCCGACCCGAATTCTTTCTCATCTTTTGATGGTACTTATTGTTGACATCGGATTGATTGTTGGCTAGCGGATTGGCTAGCGGATTGGTCTCAAAATATCAGTCTCAAAATATCCAAAATTTCAGATATCACTCTCACCCAAACCTAGAAACCCTTTTGGAAAAATTGGAAATTGTATTTTTTGTTTCAACTAAGAGACACATTTCAGCAACGAAAACGAACTTTTTGCTGATAATTGAGAATTCCAGCACTTTTTTACTGGAATTTTTTCAGAGTGTTATTGGTTTATAATTATAGGCTTAGACTGAAACGCCTTGTTCACATCAGTTCCGGAAAAGGAGTTTTGGCCTAAGCATACAATACAAGAAAACATAATATTTTGGCAATTACTCTTTGACTACACCTACTCTTTGACTACACATTCTCTTTGACTACAAAGTCTCTTTGACTACATTTATCTCTTTGACTACACTTGTCTCTTTGACTACAAAGTCTCTTTGACTACACTTTTTAAAATTTTAAAATTTTCTGCAGTTTCTTGTGGGCGTTCTCACAGAATATAAGAAGAATTTGAGCCTAAGCCTATAATTTTAAACAAAAATCGGAAACTCCAATAAATTCAGTCAAAAAGTACTATAAAACAAAAAAGTGTAGTCAAAGAGACTTTGTAGTCAAAGAGACAAGTGTAGTCAAAGAGATAAATGTAGTCAAAGAGATTTGGTAGTCAAAGAGAATGTGGAGTCAAAGAGTAGGTGTAGTCAAAGAGTGGTGTAGTCAAAGAGTAATTGCCTAATATTTTGTGAAAACTTCCTTTCAAAAAGTACTGAAATTCCCAAGGATAAGTAAAATGTCGAATTTTCCACTGGGTTTTTAAAAGACCATTCCGTTTTTCGGTATTTCGGGAATAGGGTTTCCAGATTAAGCCTGGCTGAGACCGTTGTCGAACCCTTGGGACTATTGTCGGAACGTTGGGACCGTTCTCGAGACATTGGGACCGTTATCGGAACAATGGGACCGTTGTCGCAATTCTTGGGACCGATGGTCCGATGATGGGACCGGCGGTCCCGTTTTGGGACCATTCTTCCCGGAAAGAGCCGAGTTTTTTCCTGAAAAATGTGAAAATATGCATTTAATATAGTTTTATTATCCCAAACTTTGACCTCAGTGGGTTACAAATTGAATCAAGAATAAATATGTAATATAAATTTGATTGATTGAACTAGACAAATATTATTTTCCGCAATTTCCCAGTCTAGTGTTTTTCTTCACAATTTATACATTTTATGTTGACCTGGAAAAATTGAGATCTCTGTAATTACAGCTATTTTTTTCAAAAGGCTATTTCCTTAAAGGTGGGGGGACAGGAGATTTTTCGGGGATTTTTTTTTGAGCTAGGGTATGCATTCTACCGTCACGGTGTACAACGCTTAATGTCACTCTGCGTACAGCTGTCGTCCTCGCCTTTATGTATGCAATCGGGCGGCCGCTTTCTCTTTGCCCGCGTGGCTCAGTCGGTAGCGGCGCAGCATCCTCAATCATCGCCCTCACAAGTTCAACTCCTCGAGGGACAAATTTGAACGGAATTTCGAGAACATTAACTTTTTCATGTCCCCCCACCTTTAAAATTCCCAATAAACCTTTCTTACGGTCTTGTGATTTTACGGTTCTGTGATTTTCAATGTGACATACCAGAGACGTTTTGTGAACATTGAGAATGCTCAACAAAACATTTCTCTGACCTCATTATTCAAATTTCAAACATGATAACACAAAAAATAGTGATTCATAAAAACGTATTTTCAAGATAACTGTTTTTTAAAAAATTGTTTTCTTTTAATCTAAAAGAGATCTGAAACTTAATAAACAAAAATATTGAAATTGAAAAACAATTTTCGACAAAAAGCATAATTTTTTGTACAAATAATTAAATGATTTCTGATTTTTTTTTCATCTGCTTTCTCATAAAAATTGTCTTCTGATCTGGAAATCGAAAATCAGATTTTTTTCGATTTTCAGTCTGAAAAGTGTCTGAAAAATTTCGTCGTCTCCTTTTTAGGTGTTATAATATTCTCAATCATCTCAGCTTGTCATTTCAGGCATTTTTAACTTTCCAATTTTTTTTCTTCTATTTTTCTAATAAATTCAAATTTCCAGAATATGCCTCCAACTTGCCCCAATGACTTCCAAAATCAATTGGATTCTCCAGAAACTGTCCGTCTGTTCTCCTATCTAAAAGACACAATTGTCCTTCCATTACACCTATTTGGAGCATACTGTATTTTGAAAAAGACCCCAAATAATATGCATTCTGTCAAATTTACACTTTTGAATTTTCATTTTTGGAATGTTTTATTTGATTTGATATTCGCATTTTCTGCGCCAATTCCTATATTTCCAATGCCAGCTGCAGTTATGAATGGAATTTTTACAAGAATTGGAATTCCATCAACTATTCAATTGCTCATTTTGGTAACTTCAATTGATTGTGAGTTGAACTTTTATATTCCAGAAAATCAAATTTTTCAAAACAAGGTTTTGGATTTTTAAAATTCAGAATCTTCCGACTTTTTTCAAAGTTTGAATTTTCCGGATTTTCACAAAAATTAGCATTAAAGTTTTTGATTGTTTTAGATTACAGAATTCGAAATTTCAAAAAAATCTTCAAAAAAAAACAGAAGTTTGTACCAAACTTCGCTTTGTTTATACTCGTGTTGAAACTTTTGACAAGCCGAACAGAAATATTTATATTTTAAAAAAGCAAATTTCCAATTTACAGACGTTAGTGTCTCTACCTTAATGATCTTTGAAAACCGATTCTACCTTCTAAACTCCAAGAAAAAATGGTGGAAAAGAATTCGTCCGCTTTGGATGATTGTCAATTTTTCGCTGGCTCCACTACATCAAATTCCCAATATCCTGGAATTTCCAGATCAAAAATTTGCGAGAGAATTGGTTATAAATGTAAGAGAAATTTTGAAAAAAAAAACCAGAAAATTCCAATATCCACAACTTTCAGAGTCTCCCATGCGTCCCAGAATTTCTATACACTGCTGATATCGTACTTCCAAGCCTGAACAGCCCCACAATAGTCATCAACTCAATCTTATTCGTATCCATAATTTTCGGGCAATTAGCCATTTTCGCAAATATCATAATTGCCCAATTATACACTAATTTTGGTGCGAACACACTCTCAAAGACGACCCGACATCTTCAGAAGAGGCTTTTGAAGACGTTAGTGCTGCAGACAGGGATTCCAGTGGTTTCGCTTGTTTTTCCAGGAATTTATGCAGTCTTTTCAATTTATACGAGCCATTTTGATATGGGTAAGACTGGAAATTCTGAAAAAAAGCAAATAAAAAAAGACACCGAAAAAAATATTTATACAAGGCTTTATATTCCAGGTTTGAACAATCTAGTCGCTATTGTAGCATCTCTGCATGGGCTTGTGAGCACATTATCGATCATTTTGATCCATCAACCCTACAGGGATACTGTATTTTTTTGGAGAAAAAATAAGAAGAGTGAAAGCAAAAGGTGGAGTATACCAGTTGGATCGACTCTTACAAATCATTGATTTTTTGTTTTCGTTAATTTTTGAATGAACATTTATTTCAATTAAACATTTTTTTTGTTCTCGATTATATAGTACCGGTCAATAACATACACAAAAAAGTTCTTTTATTTTCATTTTTAGTCATTTTGACTGTTTCAGAAGTTTAGAGCTCGGCTGTCAAGTTTCCGATCATTTTGAAAAATTCGGAAGGTATAAAACAGACCTAGGTTGGAAACTTTATTTTCACAAAACTTTTTGAAAACTCCCAGTTTCTCAGATTTTTGCCAATTTCTGATAGACATCTGTTTTCTCACGTTTTCAGTACAAAAACCGGTAAAAAGGGTGTCGTTCAGAAATAGGCAAATATTAGGTTGATAAGAAAGTTTCTTTCTTTTTGGCAGTGGTGTTTTGGAGACTCGATATCTGGTCCACCAAGTGGTTTAACGGGTCAATTTTTTTTGTTGGAGAGCTGTGTTCAGTGTCTATTAGATCGTAGATTTTTTTGTTTCTATCCCTCTTCGTGTTGGAGAAAGGACGATTCTTTCGGTCCTTATCCGACTGCACATTAGCATCATGATTATATTTTTATTTCTGTTTGGTCTCCAAATATCTGATACTTGCAAACAAATTGTGGATATATATAAGGGACATGCTCCGTCATCGCCTACAGTTTGCGTTTGATTCCAAAATGTCCGCCCAAGGGATTCAGTTTGAAAGATGCCAACGGACCAGTTAGTTGAATCTCGATTAATTGCTAAAAGGCGTGAAGGCGGATTTATTTCAAACCACTCGAAAAATGTCAAGGACATTGTCCGTTAGTCAACTAAGTTTTGTTATCGGATTGAGTTCTCTCGGCGGTGTCAAAAATTTGATCTTTTCGTACCCTATGCTTCAAAGGACGAAGATATGAATCGCCGTGTAGACATAAGCATGTTTCTCCTATCATTTCTCCGCACGTTCATCTGGGTGGATGATCTACTTACTGTAGATAAATAGTGGGTAAGTTACTCTAACAATATGTGGAAGGGTCAGTCAATTGACAGACATCTCTGGACGTCCCGAAACCTAAATTTCCCGTGAAAATGGGTATGCTATGTGTTAGATGGTCTATCAAAGGAAGGGAAACTGGGAACTTTTAAATAAAGGTACCACTATAATTGCTGCTTTGCATAGTTCCGAATTAGAAGATTAAACTTGGCAGTCGACTCAAAACAAGTAGAAAAAACCAAAGATCAATTCCAGCGCGACAATGCGAGATCGCCTATGACTAGAGGGATAAGCCAAAAATTCATGTCGCTTGGCTGAACTATTCTTTTACACCCGCCGTATTTTCCAGATTTTGCTTTTTCTGATGTATGGTTGTTTGAGGCTCTTAAACGTTATATTGATAGAAAAGACTTCAAGTGAAAAGATGACACCAAAAAGTAGTGGGCTCACTTTTTCAACCGCAGCTCTCGTCGTTCAGGGCCGATGGAATTGAGAAATTACCGGAGCGTTGTCAGACAATTACTGATGCCCGGATAATACTTCTGACCAGGTAAAAATTCACAAATTTTTTCTCGCATTTTCACCTTTATCAATATTTTTCAGTGGACCATTCTCTTCCTGTTCATCACTGGTATCATTATTGTGTGCAATGCTGGATTCCCATTCATCACAAAATCAGAAGCAGCGGATTACACGAAACCGAAGGATCGTACAATTGAAAAATATTAATTTTTTGAAAATTTGAAAATTTTTGTTTTTTGTGAAAACTCTGAAAAATCGTTCATTTCTTGTGTATACATGTTTTGGTTTTGTTTCCGAAAATTGTTTTTTTTTGAATAAAGAAAAAAAATTGTCTCAAAAATCCAAATTTTTCAATTGAATGCTCATTAATATTTATTAAGAATAAAAAATGGACTTTTTTTCAAACAAGCTTCTTAAAGCCACCATCCAGGGAGGTTATTGTAAATCTTGTTGCATCCGGTACGCTTGAATTCCTGAGTCTTGGTTGGTGTGGTCTTCATACAGCATCTGAATCCATTTCCGGTCATGCACGATCCCTCGTAAACAGTGGCACAGTTATGCACGCAGAGGTTGTAACAAGTCTTGTTTTGATGGGTTTCGTAGCTGTTCCATGGAGCGCAGTTGTCATAAGAAATCGATCCTTGAATTGATGCACAGTATTGCATACAGATGGCCATAAGGCCTTGCGAATTGGCGGCGACAACCAAGATAGTGGCGGCGAGAAGAAGACGGAACAACTGGAAATTAATTATTGATTTTTTGAAATATTCAGAAGAGCCAACTCACAATGTTGATTGAATCAGGGGATGCTGATGTGGTTTCTGGGATCATGGAGCATCCTATTTATGCAAACCTTCAGAGGGTACCGCCCAAGTTTCCAAAGTTTAGAGTTGGATACTTAGAGAAAAGGTGAAAGGATCATAAAACGCTTTTCATTTTTCTATTGGTTTCAATATTCAAACAGTGGGCGGAACAATAGAATGAGTGGGGGGGGGGGGGGGATATGGGCTTTTGGCTCTTTTTACAAGTTCAAGAGTTTAGGACCATGGATTTTCACGAAACACAAACTTGTCGATCATCGATACTCATTTTGGTTATTTGTAGTTAACAATAGTTTCGTTGAGTGTGGGAGGGACAATAGTATGCGTGGGACAAATCCATAAACTTTCGAACTTCGAAAATTGAATAATGTCAGCAGCTAAGCGGTGATAGATTTAGGAAATTTCAATGTGTGTGGGCGCAATCGAATTTTTTCACAGTTTCTAAATAGTTTCCAATGCACATCGACGCCAATTAATGTGAGGCAATAGTTTTGTCCTCTATGAAATTTGTAGGGAAATTAAAACAATGGAACTGTTCAAAAAAATTTTCAAAGTTTACATAATCCGCCAAATGGGAATTTTAAGAAATGTTCATTTTCAGGCTGGTTTTTCGTTTTGAAGTGAAGATATTAAGCTGAAAGAAGACGTCTGAAAATTTCAGAGAATGCTGTATAAAAGTGTTTGAGTTTTGTAATTGACAAACTTTTTTTGTAGAAATCCTATGTTTCTCAAGTCTACTTTCTGAGTTCTTAAAAAAGAAATGTGAACTTTTCAGATCAATCGGAAACTTTCTGGACTGTATCTGTTCTCCGGAGTGTTTTAGAATTCGGAACATTCAGAATATTGTGGATATGTATATTTTCAGAATATTCATATTTTCGTGAAACGAAGAAAATAGAAGCCATCAATGAGCCGTGCCTGAACTTGCTGAAAAAAGTGTTCCAGATTTTTTTGATTTGTCTGAAAAATTCAAAATATATTCAACAACACAAGAGCACCAGTTGTAATTGCTAACTTTTTGTATAATAATAATCAATTTCTGATTTTTGCAAATTTTTTAGTTTTTTGCTTTTTTTGGTTTTAAAGCCAAATTTTTCAATTGAATGCTCATTAATATTTATTAAGAATAAAAAGTCGACTTTTTATCTTCAAACAAGCTTCTTAAAGCCACCATCCAGGGAGGTTATTGTAAATCTTGTTGCATCCGGTACGCTTGAATTCCTGAGTCTTGGTTGGTGTGGTCTTCATACAGCATCTGAATCCATTTCCGGTCATGCACGATCCCTCGTAAACAGTGGCACAGTTATGCACGCAGAGGTTGTAACAAGTCTTGTTTTGATGGGTTTCGTAGCTGTTCCATGGAGCGCAGTTGTCATAAGAAATCGATCCTTGAATTGATGCACAGTATTGCATACAGATGGCCATAAGGCCTTGCGAATTGGCGGCGACAACCAAGATAGTGGCGGCGAGAAGAAGACGGAACAACTGGAAATTAATTATTGATTTTTTGAAATATTCAGAAGAGCCAACTCACCATGTTGATTGAATCAGGGGATGCTGATGTGGTTTCTGGGATCATGGAGCATCCTATTTATGCAAACCTTCAGAGGGTACCGCCCAAGTTTCCAAAGTTTAGAGTTGGATACTTAGAGAAAAGGTGAAAGGATCATAAAACGCTTTTCATTTTTCAATTGGTTTCAATATTCAAACAGTGGGTGGAACAATAGAATGAGTAGGGGTTTTGGGCTTTTGGCTCTTTTTACAAGTTCAAGAGTTCAGAACCCGAAATTTTTTTTTTTTTTTTTAAACTCCTACTCGATATGCTTGAAAGGCACTTTAAGTTTTCAATTGGTTTCAATAGTGAAACTGTGGGTGGAACAATGAAAGAATAGAATGAGCATACGGGAGTGTGTGGGTGATTTGTGCTTTTGGCTCGTCAAAAGAGTTCAAGAGTTTAGGACCCTGGATTTTTATAAAACTCGAAGAGAAGTAAGATCATTTATTAGCCAATACTGTAGAGGAAACCAAAGTTTGAGTGGAAAACAACCAACTTTGATGTCATGAAAAATGATCCGAAATTGTTTGAATTCTGTCTGATATTTTCATAGTATACTTAACACAACGAAAACAACAGTTTCGTAATTGACCAACTTTTTTGTCTAACAAAACCATGAATCCAACAAAGCGAGAAAAGTGGTTTTAAATTAGCACATTTTTATCTTCGGAACATTGCTATTTTCAGATTTTTTTCGGAATTCTCCAAATCTTTAATTTTTTTGGAATTTGCGATTTTTCTAAAATTTCTGAAGTTTGAGTGATTGAACATTTTGAATCCTTGGGCTTTTTTTTTTAATTTTCGGAGTGTTAGTAACTTTGGATAAATTCTTTGGGTTTTCCTGTTGTTTTGAAGTTTTTGGATTTGTCGAGAATTTTGGATTTTTCCAACTTTACAATATCCTGGAATTGTTTATTATAATGATTTTTGGGTTTTCGTGAGATTGAAGAGAAGTAAAACCACCAAGGAGCCTTTATTTCCTGAAAAAGTGGTTCAGAATTGTTCTATTTGTTTGAAAATTTCAGAGTATACTTAACATTAACGTAGCTTCAATTTTGCAATAAATTTCAAATTTTCAAGAATTTTCCTTTTTTTCTGTTTTTTTTTTTTGGCATTTTGTTATTAGTTATTTATAGCTATTATAATAGTTTCTTTGAGTGTGAGATCAACAATAGTCTGCGTGGGTCCACTCCGTAAACTTTGGAACTTCCAAAATTGAATAATGTCACTAGCTACGCGGTGCAGTATTTTTTAAACCTCAATATGCGTTGGCATATTCATACAATGGAACTGTTAGGAAACAACAATCCAAGACTTATTCTGGTTCCTTTCGTTTTGAAGTAAAAATATTAAAGGTGGGAGGACATGAAAAAATAATGTTCTCGAAATTCCGTTCAAATTTGTCCCTCGAGGAGTTGAACTTGTGAGGGCGATGATTGAGGGTGCGGCACCGCTACCGACTGAGCCACGCGGGCAAAGAGAAAGCGCACGCCCGATTGCATACATAAAGGCGAGGACGACAGCTGTACGAAGAGTGACATTAAGCGTTGTACACCTTGACGGTAGAATGCATACTCTAACTACAAAAAAACTACGAAAAATCTCGTGTCCCCCCACCTTTAAGCTGAAAACTTCCACAAAAAATGCTAGAAATAATTTTTCTTGGAAGCTGAGATTTTTGTTGAGCATCGTCAACTATTATGTCTTCAACTTAAAAACAAGTGTCTTAAACTTAAAAAAAATGTCTTCAATTTCTTAAAAATGTCAGTAATCAACCAGTTTCGCAAACCTGGGGCCATCTAAAATATACAGAACCTCAAATCCAGATTTTTTAAATATTCTGGAAACCCGGAAAACCGAGAGAATAATGGTTCGCATTGTGTAGAGAAAGAATTAGGACAACCAATTTAATGTTCATTAATATTTATTAAAGGTGGGGGGACAGGAGATTTTTCGTAGTTTTTTTGTAGCTAGAGTATGCATTCTACCGTCACGGTGTACAACGCTTAATGTCACTCTGCGTACAGCTCTCGTCCTCGCCTTTATGTATGCAATCGGGCGTGCGCTTTCTCTTTGCCCGCGTGGCTCAGTAGGTAGCGGCGCAGCACCCTCAATCATCGCCCTCACAAGTTCAACTCCTCGAGGGGCATCTTTGAACGGAATTTCGAGAACATTATTTTTTTCATGTCCCCCCACCTTTAAGAATAAAAAGTCGACTTTTTATCTTCAAAAATGCTTATTAAAGCCACCGTCCAGGAAGGTTATTGTAAATCTTGTTGCATCCGGTACGCTTGAATTCCTGAGTTTTGGTTGGTGTGGTCTTCATACAGCATCTGAATCCATTTCCAGTCATGCACGATCCCTCGTAAACAAAAAATAGCAAAAAAGCAAAAAACTAAAAAATTTGCAAAAATCAGAAATTGATTATTATTATACAAAAAGTTAGCAATTACAACTGGTGCTCTTGTGTTGTTGAATATATTTTGAATTTTTCAGACAAATCAAAAAAATCTGGAACACTTTTTTCAGCAAGTTCAGGCACGGCTCATTGATGGCTTCTATTTTCTTCGTTTCACGAAAATATGAATATTCTGAAAATATACATATCCACAATATTCTGAATGTTCCGAATTCTAAAACACTCCGGAGAACAGATACAGTCCAGAAAGTTTCCGATTGATCTGAAAAGTTCACATTTCTTTTTTAAGAACTCAGAAAGTAGACTTGAGAAACATAGGATTTCTACAAAAAAAGTTTGTCAATTACAAAACTCAAACACTTTTATACAGCATTCTCTGAAATTTTCAGACGTCTTCTTTCAGCTTAATATCTTCACTTCAAAACGAAAAACCAGCCTGAAAATGAACATTTCTTAAAATTCCCATTTGGCGGATTATGTAAACTTTGAAAATTTTTTTGAACAGTTCCATTGTTTTAATTTCCCTACAAATTTCATAGAGGACAAAACTATTGCCTCACATTAATTGGCGTCGATGTGCATTGGAAACTATTTAGAAACTGTGAAAAAATTCGATTGCGCCCACACACATTGAAATTTCCTAAATCTATCACCGCTTAGCTGCTGACATTATTCAATTTTCGAAGTTCGAAAGTTTATGGATTTGTCCCACGCATACTATTGTCCCTCCCACACTCAACGAAACTATTGTTAACTACAAATAACCAAAATGAGTATCGATGATCGACAAGTTTGTGTTTCGTGAAAATCCATGGTCCTAAACTCTTGAACTTGTAAAAAGAGCCAAAAGCCCATATCCCCCCCCCCCCACTCATTCTATTGTTCCGCCCACTGTTTGAATATTGAAACCAATAGAAAAATGAAAAGCGTTTTATGATCCTTTCACCTTTTCTCTAAGTATCTAACTCTAAACTTTGGAAACTTGGGCGGTACCCTCTGAAGGTTTGCATAAATACGATGCTCCATGATCCCAGAAACCACATCAGCATCCCCTGATTCAATCAACATGGTGAGTTGGCTCTTCTGAATATTTCAAAAAATCAATAATTAATTTCCAGTTGTTCCGTCTTCTTCTCGCCGCCACTATCTTGGTTGTCGCCGCCAATTCGCAAGGCCTTATGGCCATCTGTATGCAATACTGTGCATCAATTCAAGGATCGATTCTTATGACAACTGCGCTCCATGGAACAGCTACGAAACCCATCAAAACAAGACTTGTTACAACCTCTGCGTGCATAACTGTGCCACTGTTTACGAGGGATCGTGCATGACCGGAAATGGATTCAGATGCTGTATGAAGACCACACCAACCAAGACTCAGGAATTCAAGCGTACCGGATGCAACAAGATTTACAATAACCTCCCTGGATGGTGGCTTTAAGAAGCTTGTTTGAAAAAAAGTCCATTTTTTATTCTTAATAAATATTAATGAGCATTCAATTGAAAAATTTGGATTTTTGAGACAATTTTTTTTCTTTATTCAAAAAAAAACAATTTTCGGAAACAAAACCAAAACATGTATACACAAGAAATGAACGATTTTTCAGAGTTTTCACAAAAAACAAAAATTTTCAAATTTTCAAAAAATTAATATTTTTCAATTGTACGATCCTCGGTTTCGTGTAATCCGCTGCTTCTGATTTTGTGATGAATGGGAATCCAGCATTGCACACAATAATGATACCAGTGATGAACAGGAAGAGAATGGTCCACTGAAAAATATTGATAAAGGTGAAAATGCGAGAAAAAATTTGTGAATTTTTACCTGGTCAGAAGTATTATCCGGGCAAATTATACTGACGATGATTGGCGCCAAAAACTGTACAACATAAGCTGTGAATGAAATCACAGCGATCGCAAAATGCACATGTTGGAGGCAGCGCTGAAATTCAAAAAAACAATAATGATTCTGAAATTCTAAAATTCGGAAATCCGAAAATGTCAAAACTTTCGAAACCTAAACAAATTTATACCGTAAAGCCTGTAATATTAGGGGTTAGCAAAAGTAATGCGCGTCAAGTTTGGTGTTTTGTATCTCACCCAAAACAAACGTTTTGTGTTCAATTTTTTTTGTTTTAAAAAGCGCGTTCGTGGGCTTCATTTTGTTATATTATATTGCTGTTTCAATTTGATTTCTATGAAAAGAGCATTCTAGAAGATGTCCGACCAAAAATTTCGCCTTCGAGCATTTTTGTCGCACCAATTTAAGGAAGGAAAATCGGCTGCCGAAGCTCACCGCTCACTTTCTCCTGTATTCGGTGAAGAGGCTATATCCGAAAGTCAGTGTCGTCGCTGGTTTCAGCGCTTCTGGAAGATGAATCGCGGTCGTCTAGAGCAGGTGGACAACGATGCCTTGAGAGCAGCAATTGAAGTGGATCCTTGCCAAACTACTCTCAGTCTCTCGGAGGAGTTCGACTGCGATTTTTCCACAATTTCCAGACATTTGCATGCAATCGGAAAGACAAACAGATGTGGAAAATGGGTCCCTCATGAGCTTTCCGATTCGAACAAGTAAAGACGTGTTGCCAATATTCTGATGCGCCGCTCCAAAAATCGTGGTTTCTTCGATTCGATTTTGACATCGATGAGAAATGGATTCATTGGGACAATAATGGGAGAAAAAAACAGTGGCTGAGTCCTGGCGAGACCCCGAAACCGACTCCAAAACCGGACATCCACGGTAAGAAGGTGATGATATGTGTCTGGTGGAACACACGAGGTCTCGTTCATTTTACTTCGGAGACCTGGTCAAACGGTGAATGCGGACCTTTACAAAGATCAGCTGGACCGTGTGGACCAAGCTCTCAAACGTCAAGGCGTGGAAACTTCGACAACACTCTTGCTCCATGACAACGCTCGACCACACACTGCAAAAATCATTCAGCAGAAAACTCAGGAGCTGGGCTGGGAAGTGCTGCCTCATCCGCCATATAGTCCCGATTTGGCACCATCGGACTATCACCTATTCCGATCCATGCAACATCATCTGGCCGAGAAAAAATTCGAAAGCGGTGAAGAAAGTGCAAATTTGGGCGGCGGACTATTTCGAGTCACAGCCAGAGGAGTTCTTCAAGAAAGGCATCGCTGAATTGCGCACACGTTGGCAGCAAGTAGTGAACAATAATGGAGAATATCTTATTGATTGATGATCTCTTGTTTTGGTTTTACAATAAAAGGAAGTTGCATCAAAAACGCGCATTTCTTTTGCAAACCCCTGATAGAAGGGCCCTCTAACTTTCAACTTTGAAGCCATATCTCGATTCATATGAAAGATATAAAAAAGTGGTCAACTGATTATATATTCGTCATAATATCATCAATATTTCATTAGTTGACACATTTTTTTTACAGGAGTCAAGATAAATTGTCTTAGACAGTGTTAGGGCCCTTCTATTACAGGTTTTACGGTAAATCAGATTTTTTTGAAAGTCTGAAATCATAAATAATTTCAAAAACCAGTCGGTTTACACCCCTCCGGGACTCAACCTCCTGACCTACGCATGTGGGGTTTCCTCGCCCTCCTTCCCTCGCTGCCTCTGCCCACCACGCTTTACTGCGGTGAAATCAAAGAACGTCTCCAGAAGACTTCAAAATTTCAAAAAAAAAGAAAAGTTTGGGCTTCAGCTAAGACACACTTCTGACCTATCTGTCCAGGTTTCAGCTCAATCGGTTAACTTTGAATAGGGGAAAAGGCACGCTACATACAAACGCACATACAGAATTTGGTGAATGTTATTAGAAATGATAATGATTTTTTTTTCAAAATAACAATTTTTTAATTAACTATTTTAAAACCTCACCAATTGTATACATTTGATGACACCCATAATATTCAACCCAGACGAAACAATTGCAAAATTGAACGCGATTTGTGCAATTAGACGATTTGACGTAAATGCCATAACCACTAGACCAGCAGCAAATCCAATTTGAGATGTTGCCGCGAAAAATACAAATCGAGCCTGAAAAATAATTTCTAGTTTTATGAAATTTTTTAAAAATCCAGGAATCCAGAATACCGAAAATTTAGAATAATATGAATTCAGAAACTCAGAAATTCGGAAATTCTATTATTTCAAAAATTCAATAACTAACCTTTTCAGACAAAAACGTCAATTTATCTGAAACTTGTCCAGCCGTAAATTTGATAACTGCTGATAAAATGAAGGGCAACGCTGATAAAAATCCAGTTTCCCTGACATCAAACTTCAGAATATCTCTCAAATAAGTTGGTCCATAAAGTGATAAAACGAAAAATCCCATATTTCCGCCGAAACATGAAATCCATGTGATTAGAACTGTTGGATCCGTGGAAATCGCCCAATATGGTACTGATTCTTTGATTTTCTCGATTTTTCCTGTCGAAATTTTTCCGAGTTCCTTTTGGGAAACGTTTCTGAAAAAAAAAACTCTGGAAATTCAAAAAAAATCTCAGAATCTCAGAATCTCAGAATCTCAGAATCTCAGGATCTCAGAATCTCAGAATCTGAGAGTCTGAGAGTCTGAGAATCGGAGAATTTGAGAATTTCAGAATCTCAGTCTCAGAATCTCAGAATCTCAGGATCTCAGAATCTCAGAATCTCAGAATCTCAGAGTCTCAGAATCTCATAATCTTAGGATCTCACAATCTCAGAATATCAGGATCTCACAATCTTAGAGTCTCAGAGTCTCAAAGCCTCAGAGTCTCAGAGTCTCAGAGTCTCAGAATCTCAGAATCTCGGAATCTTAGAATCTTAGAATCTCAGAATCTCAGATTCTCAAAAGCTCAGAGTCTCAGAGTCTCAAAGCCTCAGAGTCTCAGAGTCTCAGAGTCTCAGAATCTCAGAATCTCAGAATCTTAGAATCTTAGAATCTCAGAATCTCAGATTCTCAAAAGCTCAGAGTCTCAGAGTCTCAAAGCCTCAGAGTCTCAGAGTCTCAGAGTCTCAGAATCTCAGAATCTCAGAATCTTAGAATCTCAGAATCTCAGATTCTCAAAAGCTCAGAGTCTCAGAGTCTCAGAATCTCAGAATCTCAGAATCTCAGAGTCTCAGAGTCTCAAAGCCTCAGAGTCTCAGAGTCTCAGAGTCTCAGAATCTCAGAATCTCAGAATCTTAGAATCTTAGAATTTCAGAATCTCAGATTCTCAAAAGCTCAGAGTCTCAGAGTCTCAAAGCCTCAGAGTCTCAGAGTCTCAGAGTCTCAGAATCTCAGAATCTCAGAATCTTAGAATCTTAGAATCTCAGAATCTCAGATTCTCAAAAGCTCAGAGTCTCAGAGTCTCAAAGCCTCAGAGTCTCAGGGTCTCAGAGTCTCAGAATCTCAGAATCTCAGAATCTTAGAATCTTAGAATCTTAGAATCTCAGAATCTCAGATTCTCAAAAGCTCAGAGTCTCAGAGTCTCAAAGCCTCAGAGTCTCAGAGTCTCAGAGTCTCAGAATCTCAGAATCTCAGAATCTTAGAATCTTAGAATCTCAGAATCTCAGATTCTCAAAAGCTCAGAGTCTCAGAGTCTCAGAATCTCAGAATCTCAGAATCTCAGAGTCTCAGAGTCTCAAAGCCTCAGAGTCTCAGAGTCTCAGAGTCTCAGAATCTCAGAATCTCAGAATCTTAGAATCTTAGAATCTCAGAATCTCAGAATCTCAGATTCTCAAAAGCTCAGAGTCTCAGAGTCTCAAAGCCTCAGAGTCTCAGAGTCTCAGAGTCTCAGAATCTCAGAATCTCAGAATCTTAGAATCTTAGAATCTCAGAATCTCAGATTCTCAAAAGCTCAGAGTCTCAGAGTCTCAGAATCTCAGAATCTCAGAATCTCAGAGTCTGGGAGTCTCAAAGCCTCAGAGTCTCAGAGTCTCAGAGTCTCAGAATCTCAGAATCTCAGAATCTTAGAATCTTAGAATCTCAGAATCTCAGATTCTCAAAAGCTCAGAGTCTCAGAATCTCAGAATCTCAGAATCTCAGAATCTCAGAATCTCAGAATCTCAGAATCTCAGAATCTCAGAATCTCAGAGTCTGAGAATCTGAAAATTTGAAAATCTTAGAATTCCAGGACTTATAAATTTCAGAATATCTTAAGATCAGAATCTCAAGACCTCAGAATCTCAAAATCTCAAAATTGAATTTTCCAAAACATCAACTTTGCGCTCATGTATCTCGTTTTCTGAAATAGATAGCAAAACGTGGCCAACTGACAAAATGTTGATCACTTTATCAAAATTATTTTATTAGTTGACCACTTTTTGATATCTATAACAGAAACTGAGATAACTTGGCTCAAAGTTACGGTATTTTTCCAAAAAAACCTCCCAAAATTACCTATGTAATTTCGGGTCATCCGTATAAGTGAACCAAAAAACGACATAAACGAAAAGTGTCAATGCACCGAAAAGATAATAAATAGATCTCCAACCGAGTGAAGATTCACAAAGAAGTCCCGAAACCGGCATACAAATGATATTGCTCAGCTGAAGAGCACATGACAGTATAGCCATGAATGTATTCGCCTCACTGCTTGGCGCCCAGACACCTGGCACCACGCCAACTGTGGTGAACATTATTGCTGAGCCGATTCCTAGAAAAATACTTTAAGAGAAGGGAATTTTCAGGAAAACATTTTTTATTCTTAATTTTTTCTTTAATTTTTTGCAATTTCACAAATTTCGTGAATCACATAAAAAGTCTGAAATCGCAAAAAAACGTGTATACTTATAACGAATTTTGGGAATTTGGCAAAGTTTTGAAATTCAGGTAAGCAAAAAAAAAACCACTTACCTTGAAGAATACGACACAAAAATGACGTATAAAAACCGATGGAAATGGCCAGAGGGAAAAATAAAGCACCACAGGAAGAAATGATTCCGGATATGGTTTGTACATTTCTCAAACCGAGGGAAGTTATCAGTGGAACTGCAGGGACAAGTCCCAGTAATCCGCCAATCGCTGCTCCTGAGAAGAGCAACGATTTTTCAGTGTTTCGCTCGAACCAGTGGGTGTCTGAAGATTTATAAAAACAAAATTTCTGAATTTCTGAATTTCTGAATTTCTGAACTTCCGAATTTCTGAATTTCTGAATTTCTAAATTTCTGAATTTCTGAATTTCTGAATTTCTAAATTTCTGAATTTCTGAATTTCTGAATTTCTGAACTTCTGAATTTTCGAATTTTTGAATTTCTGATTTTTGAATGTCTGGATTTTTGAAACTTTTGGAATTTTCGGGTTTTATGAGGTTATTTTTTTGCATTTCCAGCGGATTTTCAAAGAAATTCCAAGGATTTTTTAGAATTTTCAAAATTTGTGATTTTTCAATTTCTTTTTTTGTTTTCAATTTGGAGCTTTTGACGATTGTTAACTTTGAACTTTCGCAATTTTTGAAATTTAGAGATTTCGAAATTCGCGATTTTACAAAATCTGTGATTTCCGATTTTTTTTGGTTTTTCACTTATTTTGGGATTTTCGAAACTTTCCTGAATTTTTGAATCACAGAAATTCAGAATTTGAGAATTTTCAAATTTCAAAATTACAGTTTTTTTCGAAATTTTAGTAATATTTCAAGTTTGATAGTCCCATTTTTGAAAATTCAAGTTTTCAAATTCCAATTTTCTGATTTTTTGAATTTTTGTCTTTTTGAATACACCCCGAAAACAATAATCCGTTCAACCTAACCAACAAATATGGAAAAAAAAAATAAAAATAATAGGTCAAAAATGTTTTTCAGCGAAAATATGCAAATTTTGTCGATCAAAAATTGAGCGCATTTGCACTTTTTTTAGAAACTTTGATGTAAAACATTTTTTCGGATTTTTGGTTTCGATTTTTTGTAAAACTTAAAATTGTAAAAATCCCAAAAATCTCAAAATAATTTTTTTGAAAGTTGAAGAAATTGCAATTCTTCATACCTGTATAATTATAAACTCTATGATGGTCCTCCACAATATCTTCCATACAAATCACTGTGAAATTGAATGTCAATGTATTCATCTGGATGAATGTTAGACATGACAATCTGTAAAAAATGCATTTTTATAGTTCTTTTTGTGAACTTTTTTTTAAATTTCACAAAATTCAAAAAAATTGAACATATGCACTTTGAGCTCATTTATCTCGGTTCCTATGAAATATATCAAAAATTTGTCAACTAATAAAATATAGGTGATATTAGGATAATCATTTCATCAGTGGACAACTTTTTGATATCTCTCATAGGAACCGAGATAATTGAGCTCAAGTTGCACATACTGTTTTGTGCTATTTTCGAAATTTTAAAACAATTAAGAAGCTCAAAAAATCGTATAATTATACAGCATGTGTGTCCAATTTTACGAATTCCGGGAAATTTTAAAAAAATCGAAAATTGCGAAGTTCTTGTATTACTGAAATATATTTTTTTTCAATTAAAAAAAATATGTTAATTCGTCTGGTATACAACATATATTATTAGGTTGGCAGGAAAGTAACTGTCCCTTGTTTTATTTGTGAATAATACAAAAGCAGGATTAATTCAAGATTAGCAGTATGCGCCGTCGTGGTACACGACACGTTGGCAATGTTCAGATAACTTGTGGATACAATACCTTCAAAAGCCAGCTAGGCACGAATCAAAGTATTCATTTTTTTTCCCCGTTTTTCACATAAATGGTGCAAATTTTCGTATTCTCTAGATGAGGTTGTATCTCTCCGAATATCCAATAAACTGGTAGAGCTCAGTCGGGACTATAAGTAGGTGAGGGAGAACGGACCCACTGAAGCTGCTCAGGTCTGACTGGACTGCAGGTAAAAAATAAAAAAAACCTCATGTTCACGGAAAGTCACGCCGTACCTGAGCCGCTTTGGCTGGACGGTTCTCCTTTACCCCCGTTAAAGACCTGATTCAGCTCTATCAGATCATTAGTTATTCAAAAGTATACGACGTCATCTGGAGCTTAAGGACTTTAACACAATTGATGCCTGAAAAAATGGACTGGAGGGATACTTTGGCTTGCCACTAGCTGGCTTTTGGAGGGGTGGTACCCACAAGTTACCTGAACATTGCCAACATGTTGTGTTGTCCCGACGGTGCATATTGCTAATTCTGGACTATTCTTTTGTTTGTGTTATTTACTAATAAAAAATTGGACAGTTACTTTCCTGCCAACCTAATAGCTAGCTCAACAAAAAAAGCAAAAACGATTAAGCCCACAAGGTATCGAACCCACGACCTCTTGATTCATAGCCAACTTTGTTATCCACTAGGCTATGGCAACACAGGCATCGCCGCGTGCCCACAAGCGGTTATGAAGGGTGCGGCTGGTGGTGCCTCCCACCCTCCCCTTTTTAAACCCTTCCAGGGCGTCGCACCATTGCGCCACCGTCGTGTAATGGTAGCAAGCTAGTATATGGATCTAGAGGTCACAGGTTCGATTTCTTGTGAGGCCAAATTCTCTTTTTTTTCTTTTTTCAACTTTAAAATTTAAAAAAATCTCAAAAAAAACCAACGTTAAAACCATAATATAAATCCTGGTTCGGTTCCAAAACACAAAATTCGAGGTTTTTCGGATTTCTGGAAATTCGGAATACGGTAGCTGCTCATCGTCAGAAGCAGAAGACGTTGGGTGGACGACTTCTGAAGGCATTCTGGAATTTTTTTGAAAAATTGAAAAAATTTTTTGAACTTTGATTCCGAAAATTCTGAAAAACGTTGATATTTCCAGAGTACTTATAGTAAAACTGAATTTTGTGATTCCTCTGAAATTTGCATATTCCATGTGTCCTCCTCCTCCTCCCGACGACGACGACTACACCCGGTAGACTCGTGTCTTCTGGAATTGCCACTGAAAATTGATCAGTGAAAAGTGATATTTTCCGATCATATTTTAATTTTATTTTTTAAATTTAAAATCAAAATCTCATATTAACCTATTAATAATTGGAGAAAAGAATTAATAAAATGTTAAATGAGAAGAATTTTGAAAATCCAAAAAAACTGAAAAGAAAATCAGTGATATGATTACAACTGATAATGAAGTGAGAAGACGAAGAAAAACCGGTGATAAGAACGAAAAACGGGGGAAAATGCACCTAGAAAAATGCGATTTTTTGGGGGATCTTTTTTAGAGTCAAACTCTCAAAACGGGGGCAAAAAACAGGGATATTTTAAAGGAGACAAACAGGGATATAATCAATGATAAGCAGATAAAAAGCAAAGAAATCATTACAAAAATCAAAATTCATCAAATTTAAGATTTTTGGGACAAGACACGCATTTCGGTTCCAAGACGATCCGCCTTTCTCTTCTCCTCCCAAGCCTTGATATCGAACAAACGAAGAGTCATGATTCCGGAGAAACTGAAGACACCGCCCATCACGTAGAACGGAAGATCGAACTTTCCGGTCAGGTCCTTGAGCATTCCGGCGACTGGCGAACCGGCGACGGCTCCGATACCCATGAAGACCATGAGGATTCCGAAGGCGTTGGACAACTTCTCGACACCGATCAACTCGACGCAGATGACCGAACGGAGAGCGGCGAAGCAGGCTGGAAAGATGGAAATGGGATCTTTTTTGCTATGGATCTATTGCGATTTTTCGAGAAAACAGTTGGTTTTTCTTTGTTTTTTTTGCCAAACTTTTAGACTGTTTTAAGTTTTTCAGCTATTTTTGAAGATTTTTTTCGAATTTCTTGAATTTCAGCGAGGAATACTGTAGATTACTGTACAAACCTATTTTGTAGTTTCTTTGCAAGCTTTTTTCTGCATTTTGACGTGATTATGTTTGCACAAAATAAACTACAAACTACAAGGTTTTCTACAGTAATCTACAGTAATCTTCCCGACAACCGTTCCCCATCAAATTTCAGACAAAAAATTCGAAAAAATCGAAAAAGAATCTTTGAAAATAGCTAGAAAACCTAAAAATGTCTAAAAATTTTGCAAAAAAATCAAGGAAAAAAATCAATTTTTCTTTCGAAAAACCGCAAAAAAAAAACCAGCTATTTTTTCAGAGATTTTTGGCTGAATTCGTCTCATTTTTTACGATTTTAGCTGATTTCTAATAGATAAATTTGGCCCATTTCAAAATGATTTTCTAAACTCACCAACTCCAGCACTGAACGGGATGGTGAAGACGACGTAATGCCAGTACTCGGTGCAGAATGGGACACACGCGACGGCGATTCCTCCGAGGATTGTGGCAAAATTGGAGACCTAAAAGAATTGGCTCAAAAATGCTCAAAAGCGATATTCTACTCACCTGAAGAGCAGACATTTTCGGGTGATCTGAAGCGGCGCCACACAGAATACGGAACGCGATGTTGAAGATACCGATGAGCGTGATAATGGTGGCTTTTCTGGTGTCGTCAATCGTTTCTGGCATGACATCCTTGATATAGACGAATGGAACGAGGAACGACATGACGGTGAAGATTCCAGAGACAGCTAGAGTCATAAAGCTTGGCGAGAAGAGAAGATCCTTATCGAGAACCGAGTAGAGGGATTCCTTGAATTGCGTGAATTTCGACTTCTTGACGACGTGCACAACGGTATGCTGCTCGGTAGCATGGACGACATGGGCGGCTTCGGCTTTCTCCACTGAAATCTTATTGATTAAAAGAAGCCGAGTTCCTGAAACTCCTGAAGCTTAGAAACAAAGAAAAAACTCACAAGCCTCAACTGGCGGATTTCCAACATAGAATGCATCCGACTGGTGTCCAGGACGGTTGAGCTCATCCAAATCGTTACGAACATTTTCCAGAAGTCTCTCGGTTGGCTCCTCAGTTTTTCCTTCGTAGGCACGGACCATCTTGGCAACCTTCTTCACTTGTTGATCAGATGCTTTCAGGGGGGCGAAGAACAGAGAGAAGATGGCTCCAGTGGATGCAATAGCAGCGAGATAGAGGATGAACATTGGCACACTCTGGTTGAAATAAGCGTAGACAATTTCGTTGAGCTGGGAGAAGACGACAGTTCCGATACCCGATCCACATACAGCGATTCCTGTGGCCACGCTACGACGTTTAGCGAAATAGGTGGAGAGCACAACGATGGATGGGAGGTACATGGCTCCGAAACCGAGTCCAGCGAGAACTCCAAATGACAAATAGGTTGCGATTTGACCCTCGGTACGGCTGCAAAGCAGGAAGGCGGTGGTGGAGATGATGGATCCGGCGATGGCGACTGGACGAATTCCGAAGACGTTGACGAACGCGGCGACGATTGGACCTGGAATTCGAAGGATTTTCGAGTGACCGGGGGATCGTTAAAGTTCCTAAATCAGAGACTTCTCGGACCAGAAACCCCAGGTTCGGGAATTTCGGAAATATCTTACCACTGATGTAATAGCATCCGGTGAGAAGAGAGAAGGTGAGCGAAGCCGTAGCTTCGGAGCCGAATCTCAGCGCCCATGGCTTTTTGAGAATGTTGGCGACAGTGTAAATAATACCGTCCACAGCCATGTTGACGAGGAAACTCGCAGCGACGACCACCCATCCGTAGCCGCCTGGAAATTTCGGTCATTTTTTTAAACTTCAATTTCTGAAATTCCGAATCTTGAATACTAGAAGCCAATGACGTCATTTCAGTCGGAATTCAATTTAAAAAAAAACGGTTTGGAACATAAAACTATTATTGTTTTGTGGGGGAGGGGAGGAAAATAAGCAAAAACCAACTGATCAGAGAGCAAACGGTTTTTTGATTGAAGGAAATCTAGAAAATTCTAGAATTACGATTTTTAGGATTCAGAATCCTTGATTTGCATCCTAGATACTCAAATTTTGGTCTTCAGAAGGCAAAACAGAGTTTTTTAGATCTTCAAAATGAGTTAAAATTTCTACAGTGCTCCAGGAGTTTAGAATTTTGAGCAAGTCGATAGTAAGCTAGATTCTGACGTTTTCAGAATTCAGATTTTTTAAATGTGTCAAAAGGTCTACAGTAGTCCAGGAATCTAGAACTTCGAGCAACACGATCATGGCCTATCCTAGATCTACAGTAACCTAAATCTACAGTAACCCAGATCCTATCCTATCTGGCTCCAAAAATCAACAGCTCTCGTTTCCAATCTCCCAGAACCTACAGTAACTCAAATCTAATTTTTGGCTATCCGGGTTCTACATTAGCCTACACCTACAGTATCTACAGTGACCCGGATCTACAGAGACCTAGATCCACAGTAACCGAGATATACAGTATACTAGTTTCTACAGTAATCCAGATCCTACCCTCTCTGACTCCTACAGTAACCTGCACCCATCTAAAACTCACCATCTGGCGGCGTGACTTTTCCAACCTCCTCGACCTTCTCCTCGAAATCCTCGGCAGCCGTCACGGCGATGCTCAACTCCTTCTTCTTCGGCCCGTCATGGATCGGTTGTTTGGACATGGTGTCTGTAAAAAAAATTGTAAAAAGGGTAAAACGGACGGCTGAGGTTGCAAAAAGTGATCAAAAAATTACGTCGCGCGGGTCGGGCAGCAAAAAAAATCCCGGGTTAAGCAGAGGTTTAAATAAAGGAGTGAAAAAAAATCGTCAAGGTCTTCCTTCTCCCCCCACGTGGGGGGACGGTCTCCTCGAAGAGCAAATAGATCAAAGCCAACAGATAGTAGTGGCGGATGAAAAAGAAGGAGAAAGAAAGGGAAATCATCAATTTATCAATATAAAAATGATATGAAGAAACAGCCATCCCACTTGAAGAGCCTTTTTCTCGGCACGCTTGGGGCATTAAATGAATGACAATTCCGCCTGTTGGGGGATATATTGAGGATCGAAAAGGGGGCGGGGCTTAGGGCTCTGTATGTTTTGATTACAACGTCCCGTGCGCAAGGGGCAGATGACGAAATTGAGAAACAATGAAAAACACAGAAAAAATTCAGGAGACGAGATAGTGCAGGATTTCCGGAGAGCGCCTATTTGTCACTGCATATAGTGACGAATTTAATGGGGAAGGAAAACAAGCTACAGTACTCCCGAGAACAGAAGTCTAGAAAGCAAAGGAAACGACAATGAAAGCCAACGTGCATAGAACCTACAGTAGTCGAGAATGGCTAGATTGCTTATACAGCGTTTTTAACTGGAAAAACGGTCGATTTTCAAATCAAAAAGGAAGTTTCTGTCAATTAAAAGAAATTAAAGGACAATTTCCAAAGTGCACCCCTTTGTGTGCGGAGGTTCAATGGGCGTCCAAAGTGGCACCATAATGACCTCTTTATCAGTGGAAATACGCTTTTTTGAATTGACGACGGCACGGCAGCCAGCTGACCGACACAGTGGATTGTCAGCGAAAATTGCTTATCAGTAGTTTTCAGAGGAAACAAAAAACGCTTCAAACTCAATTTATTAGTTTTTTAACAACGGATGGTTGGTGGGCGAGAACGAAGGAGAACATTTTCTATTTCTAGGATAAGATCAAAGGGAATAGTGCCGCCGTTTCTGAAAAGTAAATTTCAGTGTCTGAAATTTTCAGACTTTCGATTGCAAAGGGAAGAAATGCTGCTTCTAAACCCTATTCTGAAGGAATACTTTTTTAGACTATGTGAATCCCTCTATCAGATCCTAGAAGTCTCCAGAATCCCATGACGCTGTTTCTGAACCCCTTGGCCTGAAATACCAAAACTTTTAGACTTCAGGAAGCCTTCCAGCTCAACGAACAGATACTAGAAGTCTCCAGATGCATCGGAATCGTCGTTCCAGCTCAATTATCAGATCCTAGAAGTCTTCAGAGGTCTCCAGAAGCTCATGACGTTGCTTCTGAATCCCTTGGGCTGAAATATCCAGGATTTCAGGCTACCTGAATCTTTCCAGCTCCACAAATAGGTCCAAAAGTCTCCAAAATCCCATGACATCAGAATCCTATCTCTCTGATGACTCAAATCTCGATGGCAGGCCCGCCCGCTCGGGCCGTTCCCTATGAGTCACTAAAGCCCAGTTGGTATAAAAAGGCGCTATCGAACCTTCCAGGAACCCGGAAAGACACAACATTCACAAATTTCTCTCCACTTGTCTCCAGATGACGTGACTCTTCTCGGCGCCGTTCAGATTGTCCACAATTACACCATCTAGCTCTTCTTTTTTGTGTCATAATCCGGATACAGAGTTCAAAATCGTTTTTTCTCTTCCTCTTTCTCTCTCCGTAGCACCACAAATCATGTCATCTCCAAACATATGCAAATTAGTCTCTACTGTCAACCTTTTTTCAGGCGCCAATAAAACGATGGCGCCAGTCGCTCATTTTCCTTGTTTTCATGAGTTCTTCTTGTTGATCCCAGTGATCTCTATATTTCGATTTCCCAGTCAAATTAACAGTACCATCCGTCGTTTTCCAAGATTTTATCAGTTTTTTTTTCTAATAAAAAATTCAATTTAGATGTCGCAAGTGGGCGATTCGGTCGAGGAAAAAGCTCATAACGAGAAAATGGTCGATTCGCGGAAAACGTCGTCGATATTGTGCTTCAATCTCACTCGTTATCTGATTCTGATTCTGACGTAAGATTTTGCAATCTCCCGGTCATCATAGATCGGAATTTCCAATTTTAAGACGTTTAGGAAAAGAATTTCAGCCTTTTCCAAACTTGAAAAATCTGAAATTTGGAAATTCCTGGACTAGGCGACTTAAAAATCCTCAATTTTTTAGCTTGACATGCTTGACTTTGCTCCAAATGAACTCTCTAACCTTCAACTTCACAGTCATCTGTATGTCGGACATTGTCGACGAATCCCATGCTCTCAACCCCAACGCCACCCACTGGTTCGAAGACAGCAATATGAAATCACTGGTTTTCTCGACCATGGCCATCGGAGGCCTTCTGGGTCTTCTCGCCGCCATGCCCCTGATGCATCGAGTTGGCGTGCGTAAGGTTTTGAGCATTTGTGGTGTCTTCTCAATTATTGGAACCGTTCTTTTCCCGTTGGCAGTGGAATGGAATTTCGCTAGTGTGCTCGTAGTGAGGTTTCTGCAGGGGCTGGGCATCAGTATGGTGTTCACCGTGCTTGGCTCGGTGCCAATCGCCTGGGCCCCAAACAACGAATCCAGCACTTTTTTGGCAGTCTTGTCGTGCGCTTTTCAGGTGAGGCTTCAGGGAAGTTTGAAATTTATTCCAAAAAATCCAAACTTCTAGATGAGTAACGTTATCTGCATGCCTATCTCCGGCTTCCTCTGCGAGTCCTCCCTTGGCTGGCGTTCCATCTACTACCTTTTCGGAATCATCACCACCATCTGCTTCCTCATCTTCTACTTCTTCTACACCGACTCTCCAAAAGACCATCGCAATGTGTCGAACCAAGAGTTGAGCCTTATCTTGCAAGATAAGACCACAACTCATAAGGAGTCGGTTCCCTACCTAGCCATCTGCAAGGATCCATGCGTCCTAGTGACCTGGCTGTCCAACGTCGGTGGAAATCTCGGATTCCTCACACTGGTGCTCTATGGACCAACCTATCTTCGCGAAGTGCTCCACTTCGAAGTCCGTGGCACCGGATTCGCCAGCGCGTTGCCTTTCCTACTCTCGGCCGCCGTTAAATCCATCGCTGGACAGCTTTCAGATCGGTGTAATTTTGTCTCGGAGCGAGTTAGATTCACCATCTGTGGAATCATCTCCAGACTGGGTCTAGCAGTCGGTTATATCGGAATGGCCACCACGTCGAGCACCCTTGTAGCTCAGATCGCGTTCACATTCTCTATTGCAGTTTCCGGGTTGAATATCATGGGAACCGTAAAGTGTCTTCAGCTGGTAAGTATAACGGCTATCAAGTAGCTTATTTACCCTTCTGATTAACCTCTCTTGCCCTTTTTTCAGCGCTGCAAACAACATGTGCACTTTGCCGTCTCCACCATCGCTCTCATGGCCTATGTGATTCAATTCGGCGCTCCGATCCTTGTCGGTATCATTTGTCCGGATAACACGCCCGAACAGTGGGGATGGCTATTCATGATCATCGGAGTGATCGTATTCGCCACCAGCGCTCCATTCCCATGGTTTACCACCGCCGAGCCAGCCGAGTACACTTTGCCTAGAGAACAACAGGAGGAAATGAAGAAGCAGCGAGAATTGGAGGAATGTTGTTAGTGTGTAGGAGGAAGGAACGGTTCCACTCTTTGTGCTCCATTATTGCATCATGTTTCGTGTTCTTCGATCTCGTTCCGTCGGGATTTTCTGTTCTTGAAGTTGTCTCTTGTTCGATTTTAATAAAAGTTTCTTTGGTAAAAACAGACTGTTTACCAGAGATTTTTCCTCCGAACGTCTGTTTATCCAGATGTCTTCCTAAATCTTTCAGGATAAAGATTTAATCGGAATCCGCAATTTCAGAGTCTGCCAGGATGCCAGAAAGAAAGGAAAAATCGAGCGATTCCATCTAGGAAAAACACTGCTTTTTGGCGACCATTTCGATGTCCCAAAATCCCAAAAATGCACATTTCCGACCCAAAAACATACAGAATCATTACCCCAAAAAACCAAATTCTTCGATTTCCGCCAGATTTTGAGACCTTTTTAGGTTTTCTAGCTATTTTCAAAGATTCTTTTTCGATTTTTCCGGATTTTTATTCGAAATTTGATGGAACGGTTTTCGGGAAAATTACAAGTAGATTACTGTAAAAAACCACTTATTTTTTAGATTTTTTTTTTTGCTAACAAAATAGTATTTTGTGCGTTTTGACGTGATTGTGTTTGCAACAAAAACCACTACAAAAGCAAATTAGCTCTTTCTACAGTAGTCTACTGTAATCTTCCCGAAAACTGTTCCCTATCACATTTCAGACGACCAAAACCGGAAAAATCGAAAAAGCATCTTTGAAAATAGCTAGAAAACCTAAAAAGGTCTAAAAATTTTGCGAAAAAATCGCGATTTTTCAGAGTTTCGAGAAATGGACGAGAAGCGATTTTTTAAGATTTTGCCAATTTTATTGAATTTTTTCTCTACTGCGTACATCCTCTGTTTGTCCAGATGTCCACCATCTGGAAAATCAAAAAACCCGATTTTTCAGTATGTTTCAGCGAAATTTCAGACGATTTCAGTGTGTCGAAAATCACATTTCCCCACCAGAGGAAAACACATCGCACATCAGAAATTGATATTTCATATTTTCAAAAACATCTCTTCTGAATCTCTATCACACATATTGTGCAATAATGATGACATTTCCCACCGTCCATCTGGTATTACACAGCCTTTCTACCCCACGAGGACGGTGCACTGTGCGCTCTTTGTTCCATCCGCCAGGCCTTTCTATCCCTTTTGAACTTGAAAAATTTCGAAAAATTCCGAAAATTCAAGTTCAAATATTCAAATTGCCGGTGTTTGTTGCATTTCTCTAGCTACACAGAACTCATGCAAATTCGGATGATTTCGATACAAAAAGGCCGAAAATGAGGGTGACAGGTGACGAGAAAATGGCAGACAAAGTTGGCGATTCCGGAGACGGTGTAAAACGCAAAATTTCGAATTTCGTGTTTTGGAACCAGACCAGAGTCTTTATTCTAGCACTTTCGTGAGTTGTTGGGTCATTTGCAGCGTATTTTGAGCCAATTTTCAGTCTATTCAAGACTATGATTAGTGTTTCTTAGCATATTTAAAGCTTATTTTCAGCCTAACATGCCTGACTTTGACTCAAATCAACTCGCAAATCTTCACATTCACTGTGATCTGTATGGACGATTTGATAGTGGAGAATCAGATGTCAAATGTCACAGGTAGGTAAAATAGGCGCCGAGGAAGCTGAATTTGGAATTGAAATCCATTTTTGCCGCTTTTTCAGCCCATTTCTAGACATTTTAGCATATTTTTAGTCATTTAGGCTATTTTCAGCATACTTGTAACGGGCCGGGCCGGCCGGGCTTTTTCCGGAATTTCGGAGGCCCGGCCCGGCGGGCCCGTCATTCCACTAGTTTCGAAATTTTCAAAAAACAAATAAGGGGGACCCTTATGTGATTTTTTTCGACCAAAAAATTTTTTTTCGAGTTTTTCGATCTTTTTTGATCAGACAGACAAAAAATCCGAAATACGAAAAAAAATGGAAAAAAAATTATATTGAGAGCTTAAAATTTGGCTCAAAAATACAGGATTTTTGACACTGGGCCTTGAAAATTTCCTCAGGCCCAGCCCGGCCCGGGCTTCGGCGGGCCGGCCCGGAATTTTACAAGTATGATTTTCAGTCATTTTTAGTATATTTTAAGCCCTATTTCAGCACACTTTTAATCATTATCAGCCGATTATTAGCCTATTTTAGTCATTTTGAGCCGATTTTAGCATATCTTTATAATAATAATAATATATTTATTTGCAATGCATGGGGGAAATCAATAGATAGTCTTTTTAAGCATATTTTTAGTCTTTTTAAGCATATTTTTAGTTTTTTTAAGCATATTTTTAGTCTTTTTAAGCATATTTTAGCCATATTTAGCCTCCTTTTCAGCATTTTTCGACTTTCAGAGCCCCACTGGATCGAAGGAACTACAGAAAAATCGATTTTATTTTCTGCAACAGCTATCGGTGCCCTAGTTGGCCTCATTCCATCAGTACCCCTTCTCAATAGGCTTGGCGTCAGGTTAGATTCAATATTCGCAGTTTTGAAGCATGAAACACTCACTAAACTCGATTGATCCCCTCCAAGCGGGTGGTCCTTATTTAGAGACGTTGTGGTGACGTCTTCTGAAAGAAAAAACGAACTTTAGAGAGAAAAACGCTGAAAGAGAGAAAAATGAAGGGAAAAGGAAGAGAAAAAATGACTGATAATTTCGAAAAAAAAGAAAAATTCAAAAAAAAAAGTTCTGAAAATTTGAGATTTTCTACTCGAATTTTCGCATTTTTTCTTCAAAATTCACAAATTTCGATAGGAAAACTCAGAATATTCAGTGAAATTAAAACTAAAAACTCGAAAAAAAAGGAAATCGAGAAAATAATTTTACTGAAAATTCAATTATTTTTTTCCAATTTTCCGGAATTTGACATTTTTCCAATGGAAACCAGAATTTTCATAACTTTTCACTTTGCAACTGGGCTTTCGTGACTCATAGGGAACGGCCCGAGCGGGCGGGCCTGCCATCGAGATTTCAACTTTTCACAAACCACAAAAATTGGAGAAGAAATCGCAAAAAATCGAAAAAAAAACTATTTTTTGGCTTTTTTCAGAAAAATAGGATTCTTCTTATGTTTTCGTTGAGAAACAAGATTTTTAGCATAGAAAATCGAATTTCTCATCATTTTTCACCGCTTAAACTGCAAAACCTTGTTGAAAACCGCAAAAAATTGAAGTTTTCATTTCTTTCGCAATTTTCCAGAAAAAAATTGAAAATAGACATATTTACAGCGAAAAACAAGATTTCTAACATAAAAAATCGGATTTTTCATGATTTTTCACTTTAAAAACTACAAAAAATCAGCAAGAAAGCTCAAAATTAAGTCTGGAAAGTCCAAAAACGGGCGTTCAAAAATAATGAGCGGTGCGTTGGGTTTCGCAGCGAAAACGCTTTTGCTAGCGCTACAGTAACCCGAAAACTTTTTACTGTAGAAATGAAATCAACCTGAAAATGGCTGAAACTCAACCGTTTTCAGTTTTGAAAAATCCTGGGATATGTAAAAAATTACGAGAAATCTGAATATGAAAAAATTAATCGGAAAAATTCAGCGGAAAGCCCAGAAAATCACGATTTTTCAGGTTAACCTTATCGGTGTGCGGCCTTTGCTCAACACTTGGCACATTTTTCACACCTATTGCAGTTTCTTGGAGTTTTTATCTAGTGGTAGTGTGTAGAGTGCTTCAAGGGCTCGGTATAAGTGTAATTCTTACTGTACTTGGTGTGATTCCAACTTCTTGGTCCCCAAAGAGCGAATACAGTACCTATTTGGCAATTTTGTCGTGTGCTTGGCAGGTTTGTGAATTTATGTTTTATAAAGCGCATTTGCATTCTTGCAGTTTTCAAATGTGATTTTTATGCCAATTTCTGGGATTTTATGTGATTCCGAGTACGGTTGGAGGTCGATTTATTATGCATTTGGTGTGCTGACTGGATTCTTTTATTTCATTTTTTACATGTTTTATACAGATGCTCCTGGTGTACATAGGTACGGTATTGTGAAACAAAAAATCATTTTTTGATTCTTTAGGATTTTAAGAATTTTCAGGATTTCAAAAAAATGCTTCTAAATTTCTGAATTTTCCGACTTTGCACTATTTTCAAATTTCAAATTTTCATTGAATTGCTGGTTTTTTATGTTTCAATTTTTCTTTTAATTTCTCAATTCCTGAAATTTTGAAATCCTGAAATTCTGATATTCTGAGATTCTGAGATTCTGAGATTCTGAGATTCTGAAATTCTGAACTTCTGAACTTCTGAGATTCTGAGATTCTGAGATTCTGAGATTCTGAGATTCTGAGATTCTGAGATTCTGAGATTCTGAGATTCTGAGATTCTAAAAATAAGAATTTCTGAATTCTTAAATTTCAAAGTTTTCCAGAAACGTCTCCGAAAAAGAGCTTGGCCAAATTAAAGAAGGCAAACCGGACCATGCAATTCGTGAAACTGTACCATATAAACGTATCTGTACAGATCCATGCGTTTTGGCCGCATGGATCAGTTTCCTGGGTGGAAATTTGGGATTTATCACACTTCTATTATATGGACCAACTTATTTGAGAGAAGTTCTGAATTTCGATGTTCGATCCATGGTTATATCAATGCTCTACCGTATGCTCTTTGTGCAATTTATAAATTTAGTGCTGGAAAAATTTCGGATCGAATCAAATTCGCTAGTGATAAGGTGAGAGTTGATTTTGTTTTTGGAAATTTGGAAATTCAAGAATCTGAAATTTTGAATTTCAGAAATTTAAAACTTCAGCTATTCAGAAACTCAAGTAACTTGAACAGTGTGTGTCTCTCGAAAGCATTCAAGAGATTCCTTAGGTCAATTTAACATGATGACCTAACTTTTGCAATGTGAGTTTTCTAGGCCATCACGTGCAAATGACATCGAAAACACACTTAAAACTAACTAATTTTTCACGAAAGTTCTGAGTTTTTGATCTTCCAAATTTCCAATTTTATGAATATCCAAATTCCCGAGTATTCCAGACCATCTACACATTCTGGCTCTTCTCCTCCATCATTGGCCTATCAATTGGTTACTGTATAATGGCATGGACTACTGATCGTAACATAGCATTCGTCGCATTCGCTTTTGCGATTGTCACTTCTGGATTAATTATAATGGCATCTGTGAAATGTTTAGCAATGCGATGCCAACAACATTGTCATTTTGCAGTTAGCACCGTTTCGTTTTTGTCGTATTGTGTACAATTCATTTCTCCATTGGGTGTTGGCATTATGTGTCCCGATAATACACCGGAACAGGTAACTTTTTTTGGGATTTTCGAATTTCTTGGAACTTTGAGTTTTCTAGAATTTCTGAATTTATGAATTATTGAACAATCGAATTTCTGAAATTGCATAAAGTTCTGAACTCCCGGAATTTTTGGGATATTTTGGAGTTTCCTGAATCTCCTGAATTTTCAAATTCATTTAAATTTCGAATTTTTGTTTATCGAAAATTTTCAAAAATCACGAGATTCCAAAATTTTCAAGAAAATTGAAAAAAATCACGAAATATCAAAAAACATGAAATTTCGAAATATCTGAAATCTCAAAACTTAAATTATCATACAACTCCAAAAGTATCGAAATTTTAAAATTACAAAAATACAAACTTTTCACAAATCACAAATGTTCTAAAACACCGAAAATTGAAAAATTGAAAATTTTCGAAAATTTCGAAAATTCAGATATTTAAAAATGATGAAACTTTGATAATCACAGAGTTACAAAATTCTGAAGTTATCTAAAATCTCAGAAATTCGAAATTTTCAAAGTTTCGAAATTCTAAGATTCTCAAAAATCACAAAGCTTTTAGAACCCCTGATTTACAGAATCAAAAAGTTACCAAAATCCCGGATTCTCGAAAATCGCTGAAATTCGGAAATCCCGAAAATTCGAAATTAAAAAAAAATTCTTGACTCCCAAAATAACCAAAGTTAAAAAATTATATTTCAGTGGTCCCGAGCCTTCCTGCTTATCACCGGTATCATGATTCTCACAAACGCCCCATTTCCATTTTTGACGACTCAAGAAGCTGCGGAATATACGAAACACAAAAAATCGCCGATGGGAGAACTTTCAGAAAAAGTCTGAAAATTCTAGATATTGATTTTTTTGTACTTATTTGACTTTTTTGTTTGTGAAAGCTGAGAAATTTATTCATAAAAAAATAATTATCTTTTTGAAAAAAATAAATACATTAAAAATAAAATATTGCAGTGGAAGGAGAAAGAGAGTACATGAAAAATGAAGAAAATAATTAAGGTTTTCAATTGACATGAGAAAAAGTGTACACGATTTCCTGACAGTAGTCTTGACCTGGACGGAGTGAGACGTCGGGGAAATTTTCCTGAAACAATTTATTTATCGATTAAAAGTTAAGAAATCCCATTTTTTGAAAATATGCGCAGTTCTGAAATTCGACAATATGGAAAATCAAAAAGTCGAGTTTTTAAAAGTTTAAAGTTTCGAGGAACCCTCTAATAGAAGAGCCCTCCGAGAGGGGCTTGGAAAAATAGAAGGGTCCCTGTAATAGAAGTGAAGAAGGGCCCCCTTCAAAATATGTTTTGAAATCAGAAAATTTTCGTACTTTTTCAGGGGAAAACATTCCGGGAACTCAACAATTTAATAGAAATTTGAAACTCTATTTTTCGATGAAAATCTTGCTAAATTTTGGTGAAATCGGCAGGTTTTGATGCATTTTGAACGAAACTTCGTCGAATTTTTCGATGTAAAATTTCGGGAAAAACCGGCCGAAAAAAATAAAAGGGCTCCCCTCAAATTGAAGGGCCTCCTTGGAACAATAGAAGGGCTGGCCCTTCTAATACAGGTTGTACGGTATCAAAGTTTTTTCTTGCAATTCAGAGAACTCACAAAATTAGGAGCAGCCGAGTGGAACTGTGGCTCAATTGCCAGCGCTTTATTTGCTCCGTAGTGCTCTCCATTCTTTCCAGAACAATCCAAAAATTTCGATGCATATAAATGAATAACCGGGTAGGAAGTGGTGATTGACAACTCGATTCCCGATTTCTGGCTCCAGAATCTCAAATTTGACGTCGGCGTGATGGGTGGATCTTTTCTAGCGATCACTAAATCATTATCCAAATCCAAAATCTCATTTTCTGATTCTCCAAACGCCTTCAATTGTTTTCTATTTCGAAAATCGAATCTGGTCCCTTTGACACATCGAATCGCTCCTGTTGGACAAAATGTGTCATCAACTTCCACGTATTCTTCAGAATCCATTTCTAAGAAATGCTCTTTGACGTCTTCTGATCCATCTAAATTCCAGTAGGCGTGATTTGTGAGGGCTAGAAGTCCCGGGATTTCACATGTCGCATGATGCTCGATGATTAGTTGATTACGGTCGTTTACTGTGTAGGTTACCTGGAAATAATGAGTTTCAGATTTTCAAAAAATTTGAAACATTAAACAGAATTTCAAAAGGTCAGAAATTCTAAAAATTAAAAGTTCAGAATCTCAGAATCTCAGAATCTCAGAATCTCAGAATCTCAGAATCTCAGAATCTCAGAATCTCAGAATCTCAGAATCTCAGAATCTCAGAATCTCAAAATCTCAGAATCTCAGAATCTCAGGATCTCACAATCTCAGAATCTCAGAATCTCAGAATCTCAGAATCTCAGAAGTTCAGAAGTTCAGAATTTCAGAATCTCAGAATCTCAGAATCTCAGAATCTCAGAATCTCAGAATCTCAGAATCTCAGAATCTCAGAATCTCAGAATCTCAGAAGTTCAGAAGTTCAGAATTTCAGAATCTCAGAATCTCAGAATCTCAGAATCTCAGAATCTCAGAATCTCAGAATCTCAGAATCTCAGAATCTCAGAATCTCAGAATCTCAGAATCTCAGAATCTCAGAATCTCAGAATGTTCCGAAATCTGAAAGTATCAAAAATCCAGAAATCGCAAAATTTCGAAAATATCAAACACCTCACAACCTGAAAATTTTAATTTTTTTTGAAACCCAAAATGCTCCGAATCTTTAAATTTTCGAAAAAATTAAAAAAAAGATTTTTCACTTATTTTTGACTCAAATTTTGACTCTCAGCTATTATAGTTAATTAGCTTATTAATTAGTTGATTAATTAATAAATTAAAATTTTCTCAAAAAATGCTCACATCAATTTTCGCATCTCCCGGCAGTCCATCCTCCTGTTCATTGGCTTTCACGCTGAACGAAACCGATTGTGGTGCGTGTCTGACCAATTCCCATTTTCTCTGAAAATTTGGTTTTAAAAATCTGGAATTCCGAATACCCTGAAATGAAAATTTCTGGAATCAAATTTCAAAAATTCTGAAATCGATTCTTCAAAAAAGGTATACTGGATTTTGAAAAATAGACTTCAAGATTTGATTTTAAAATCCGAAAGTTTGAAAAATTAGAAAAAAGCTCACATATCCCAATCCATTGGGTCCTCCATGTAAATAATGTGGACCATTATTCGGTGTCATTTTGTATTCTTTTCCGTCAAATTTCAATTGGGAATTCTTGATTCTGTTGGCCACACGGCCAACTGTTTTTCCCAGTGATTGAGTGTCAGATTCGAATTCTGGACAATGTTGAAAATTGAAAATTTTTGCTTTAGAATGATCTAATTTTTAGAATATTCGAATTCCGGAAATTCAACATTTCTGAATTTCAGATTTCTGTTTTTTGTTCTTATATTTCAAATCAAACCAAAATTTCTTTTAATCCAAATTTGCACAAAATAGAAACCAAAAACTTTCAAAAACTTACCATCAATAGTGTTAAATCCAAGGACCAAGTCCTGATTTTTTCCTTCTTTATCTGGAAATGTCAGTTTTGCCAATGTGGCACCAAACGGTAATAGTGTAGCTGATAATCCTTGTTTATTGGTGATTTCAATGAATCCGGAGGCCATTTTTGGGATGGTCTGAAAAAGGGAAATTGGGTTGTTTAAAAAATAAAAAATGAATGAAAAAATGAAGAAAAAAAATTAATTCAGAGTTTTCAGGATTTCTGTAAAATTCAAAACTTGCAACCTCAAAAATCAAAAATGTGTGTATTTTTTTCAATTTCAAAATTTCCTACACATGACCGAAAATATCTAAATTTCTAATCCGATCAGCATTTGTACAATTTCTTCCACGTGGAAATCACGTCCAAAATGTGTCAAAACTGATAAGCACTGATCACTGATAACGGTAAAAGAGAGGTGTGATTTTATATATTTCTAGTGGGAGAAAATTGAAAAAAGAAAAGAAAAGAAAAAAGAGAAAATCAATGAGACAATAGGGGAATCAGATCGAAAAGAAGGAGAGAGTGAGAAGGTGAGAGACGCAGAGAAACAGAGGAGAATGTTTTTGTTTACACAATGAGCGGGATGAGGGACCATCGAACGCTGATTGATTGGTGTGTTTGACCTTGGGTGCTCCTGGGAAACAAAATAAGGGTGGCCTAGAAAATTTGAGAAAAGTTAGGTCATGGAAAAAATATTTCAGAAATTCAAAAATTCAAAAATTCATAAACTTGGAACTTCAGAAATTCAAAATTTTGAAAACTCGAAAAATCCCAAAGTTTTAGAAATTCTGCAATTTCAGATTTTCGAAAAAAATTTCAATTCCAAAAACTGAAATTGCAAAAGAATTCTCAAAGTGTTTTTGAATTCTAGATCTGGGTTTTTTCTATTTTTTTTCTCCATTTTTCAGCAAAATGTGACTTTTTTTTTTCTATTTTAACTTCATTTTTTCAGCAAAATTTGACATTTCAGTAACATTTGACACTTACAAAACTTGACATTAATTACCATTTTTCAAACATTCTTTATTCCAAAATTTTAAATTCACTGAATTTCCAAAACAGAAAAAAAAAATCAGCGGAACAAAATGAAAAGCGAAATTTTCCATGTTTTTTTTTTCAAAATCAGATAATTGGAAATATCGGGAACTGGAGGATAAGAAATACGATTGCGAACGATTTTTATCTAGAACCTGAACAAAAAATATTGAAACGATTTCTGGAATTTTCAAATGATCCATTCGGTAACATTTCAAAAATTTAATTTTTTTCGCATTTTCAAAGATTTTTCGAGACTTGAAAAAATTTTTAAAAATTGAAATTGATGCAAAACCAAAAATACTCAAAACCTCGAAAATTTTCATAGTTTTTGAAACAGATTTTTTAGATATTTCCAATATTTTATTCAATTTTTTGTTTCAAATACAAAATGTATTGTTCCGTTTTGTTTAATAAAAAATGTTTCCGAAACGTCGGAATCGCTTGAACTTTTTTGTTCAGTTTTTGCAATAAAAATCGTTTGCTATCGTATTTCTTTGGTGTGTTTTTTTTCGAAATATTGGTAACAAACTATATTTTTGCTTTTCGAAATTTTGGAAAAATCTGAAATTTCAAAATTTCAGAATTTTAGAATTTTGGAATTTCTGGTTTTTTGAAGTTTTGGAATTCTTTAAATCCGATTTTTCTAAAATTCAAAGTTTTCGAATTTCTCAAATTTTAAAGGCTCTGCAGTTTTCACGGAATTTCGAAAACTAGGAATACAGAAGTTCTTCAAAAATCCGGAAATTCTGAAATTTTGAAATTCGGAAGTTTAGAAATTCTGAAATTCGGAAATTCTGAATTTCTGAAATCCTGAAATTTTGAAATTCTGAAATTCTGAGATTCTGAAGATCTGAAATTCTGAAATTCCGAAATTCTGAAATTCTGAAATTCCGAAATTCTGAAGTTCTGAAATTCTGAAGTTCTGAAATTCTGAAATTCTGAAATTCTGAAATTCTGAAATTCTGAAATTCTGAAATTCTGAAATTCTGAAACTCTGAAATTCTGAGATTCTGAGATTCTGAGATTCTGAGATTCTGAAAGTCGGAAAATCCAATTCTCCAAAAGTCTGAATTTATGGTTTTCCAAAGTTTGGATTTCTGATTTTGAGGTTTTTTATCGGGAATTCAACAGACTTTCCGGATATTTGCTATTTGGAAATTCTAATTTTCGACAGTGTCAAAAATTTTCGAAATACTTTTAAAAATTCCTGAATATTAAAAAAATATTGAAAATTTTCATTCTGAAATTCTGTTCTGAAATTTTGAAATTTTGGGAATCCCAAAATTTCTCAAATTCAAAAAATCGCAACAAAAAAAATAAATTAAATCCAAATTTTCAGATGCTCCTCTGTTTTCCCAAAAAGTTATTGTTGTTAATTGCACTTCTATCACTTTTACAATTCATTTTTTATAATATTTCTTCTCGAAAAAATTCAAGAAATCTGGAAAATCCCAAAAATCAAATTCTGCCGAATTCCGAAATCAAAAATGGAGGAAAATGGATAGTGGTGACAAGTGTAAACTATCCAACTGAAGATGTCAAGGTGATTTATATTCTCAAAATTGGAAATTTTTTGAATGTCTTGTCCTAATATTTTAAATTTTCTAGGTCATGGCCTAAATATGGAATTTCTAGATGATGACCTATTTTTTTAACTTTCAAGGTTATGACCTCATTTCGGTAATGGTCTAGTTTTTATGGAATTTTCTAAGACATGACCTAATTTTCCAGGTTTTTCAGATCACGCGCTAATTTTTCAGAATTCCAAGGTCACGAGCTAATTTTTGACGTTTTCAGTCATAACCTTTTTTGAATTTTTTAGGCCATGACCTAGTTTTTGGAGTCTTTAGGTCAGAACCCATTTTTTGAGTTCACCTATTTTTTTCTTAAATTTCTAGGAGATGACCTGTTTTTTGAATTTTCTAAGTCATGACCAAGTTTTTTGGACTTACTAGGTAGTGATCTAATTTTTAGGAATTTCCAGGTCACGACCTAATTTTTGAAGTTTTCAGATCATGAACTAATTTTTTAGATTTTCTCGGTCACCGCCTACTTTTTCGAAATTTCTAGGTTATGACCTAATTTTTCGTATTTCATAGGGCATGACCTAGTTTTTTGGAATTTCTAGGTCATGACAAGTTTTTTGGACATACTAGGTCGCGGCCTAATTTTTAGGAATTTTCAGGTCATGACCTACTTTCTCGGATTTTCTAGGTCATGACCTATTTTTCCAAATTTCCTAGGTTATGATATTTTTTCAGAGACTCGCATCAATAGAAAGCTGGAATCTCGTTGTCGTTGCTGACACTAAAACTCCAGAAGACTGGAATCTCGAAGGCGTTCATTTCTTATCAGTAGAGTTCCAGAAAAATCTACGTGGGTTTTTTTCGAAATTTTTTGAAAAACCTGAAAAATTTCAGCATTTTCTTTAATCTCTTCTCTCCCATATAAATCGTATACTCGAAAAAATATTGGATATTTGTATGCAATTTCTCAAGGCGCTGAATGGATTTATGATACCGATGATGATAATAAACCATATGATAAGTATCCATATTTTCAGACAAATACTTGACTGGAAAATTAATTTTAAGACTCGGACTTGATCAATTTGACTACGATGATACAGTATCAGGAGTTCGGTATACGGTAGAAAATGCAAAGGATGGGATACGGTACTTTTAAAAATTAAAATTTGGATTTTTAATCGATATTCCAGAAATCGGCTATTCAATCCATACAGATACGGAGGAATACAACAAATGTGGCCCAGAGGTTTTCCTTTGGAACATTTCGAGGTCAAAAAGGTTTTTTTTTTAATTTGGACTTTTTTTTAAATTTTAGAATCACACAAACGGAAAGGACAATCAAATTTTATGTCAAAAAATGAGCAGATCGGCTGTACAACAAGGATTGGTGCATCATGATCCCGACGTTGATGCTATTTATAGGTAAAATTTTTAATTTTCGAAAATATTAGATATTCAAAAAATCGGCCTCACTTTTGTGAATAGATCTATGAAAAAGTAGTCATTTTGAGCAGAAATAGGAGAATGTCAAACAAAATTTAGGGGAAAAAGCGAAGTTTTTTGAATTCTTGAGTTTTGGAAATTTGAAGTTTTTAGTTTTGGATTTTCGAATTTTCGAATTTTTTATTTTTGAATTTCCCGGAATTCTGAAATTCTTGAATTCCTCACATTTAAAATTCCTTACATTATTCTGAGATTCTGAACTTCTGAAATCCTAAAATCCTGAGATTCTGAAATTCTGAAATCTTGAAAACCTGGGATTCAGAGATTTTGAGATTCTGAGATTCTGAGATTCTGAGATTCTGAGATTCTGAGATTCTGAGATTCTGAGATTCTGAGATTCTGAGATTCTGAGATTCTGAGATTCTGAGATTCTGAGATTCTGAGATTCTGAGATTCTGAAAGTCGGAAAATCCAATTCTCCAAAAGTCTGAATTTATGGTTTTCCAAAGTTTGGATTTCTGATTTTGAGGTTTTTTATCGGGAATTAAACAGACTTTCCGGATATTTACTATTTGGAAATTCTAATTTTCGACAGTGTCAAAAATTTTCGAAATACTTTCAAAAATTCCTGAATATTTAAAAAATATTGAAAAAACTTTTGAAAAAAAGATATAAAGTTCAAAATGTATCTAACTTTTTAATACTTTCTAGACTTCTAAATGCGGACAAATCAACTGGTTTGGATGTGAAATTCAACAAATTTGCACCAAAAATCATTTTATCAATCGGCACTTATTCTCCGTGGAATTCGCAAAATACGTTATTTCACAAATCTGCATTTCACACTCTTTTTCTACCTACTACAGTATCCTTCCGGTAATTTTTTTTGGAAATTTTGCAAATATTTTCAATTCAATTTTTTCGCAGAACCACTGATATCTGGCGCTCTTTTATCTCTCAAAAAATCCTACATTTATCTGGTCTTACTGTATCTTTTGTGCCCACCAACGCAGTACAATTTCGAAATGCACATGACTATTTAAAAGATTTTAAGGATGAAAAACAGGTTTTCGAAGATTCTGGACGATTTTTGAAGTTTCTACACAATTGGAATTGTTCAAATGCAACAGTTTTGGAGGATTGCATGAAAAAATTGAGCGAGGACTTGGTTTTGGAAAAATTATGGGGAGAAGAAGATGCCAAACTGATGGGAATGTTTTTGGATGATATGAAAGTTATGGGGTGAGCTGGTTTTTTTTTTGAGTTTTGATTTCTGAAAAATTACGGATTCGGAGCATCGTTCACATTTTCTCGTATTTTTTTCATTTTTAAGAAGTGGACTAACTTTTACAAGTTGGCCTAGAAAAATCACTTTGCAAAAGTAAGCCTGGTGTGATTTCTAGGCGGTGAATATCAGGTCGTTTTTAAGTCGTTTTGGCGTGGTGGCCTAACTTTCGCAAGTTGAGTTTTCTAGGCTACCAACTTTTTTGGCCTAGAAATGAAATGATTTTCATTTGGTGTGTTTTTAGGCTATTTTGAGGTGGTGGCCTAACTTTTGCAAGTTTAGTTTTCTAGGCAACCACATGTTTGTGGCCTAAGAATGGCCTAACATCACTCTGGCGGGTTTTCTAGGTAGTTTTAACATGGTGGCCTAAGTTTTGCAAGTTGAATGTTCTAGGCCAACCTGTAGAAATGGCCTTGAAATGGCTTGATATTTATCTGGTTTGTTTTCCAGGCCATTTTGAAATGGTGGCCTAGAAAACTCAACTTGCTAAAGCTAGGCCATCAGGTCAAAATGACCTAGAAAACACAATAGAGTTATGTTAGGCCATTCCTAGACCAAAAACAGGCGGTGACATAGTTTTTTCATCGAAAAAATTTAACACATTTTTCAAAAATTTCTGAAAATTTTCAGTTTCGAATTCCCTCCCTTAATCGGGGAAAGTTATCAGGATCCATATAAAATTTCAAAAAATGAATCTGAAAGGAATGTGAACTGTAGAAGAATGAATTTGGAATTTGATTTGATAGATCCGAAGGAATCGGAGAATCAGGTAAAATCTAAAATCTGGAAATCTGAAAATTTTTGAACAATTTTCAGAAAATTCAAAAAGCAGAGCAAAAATTAAATTATTTTGGGAATTTAGCAGATTGGTGTAACCAGACTGGGTATTCTGGTAAGTGGATTTTTTTAAAGTTGATAATTTTTCAGAATTACAGAATTTTCGGAATTTCTGAACTTTTAAAATGTTCAATTGCTTAATTTTTGAGTGTTCGAGTTTTTAAAGCTCAAATTCATAAAGTTTTCAGATTTATCAAATCAGTTCCCATCTCCTGAGCAACTGGCTGATGATCATTTGGTTTTTGAGAACTATTCAGATACGGTAACTAAAAATAATTTGTCAATCAATTACCCTCCGCTAATTAAAGGTCCTAGTTGTTGTAAATAATTTCCCTTGGAAATATGGTCCAGGAATTATTCAAAGACTTTATCAGCCATATTTTGCCGCTGTCATTTTTTGTGGTTCTTGGTATCCGGACCAATTCAAGGACCAAGATAATTACACCTCAATTATCTCCCCACTTAATTATATTCATATAAATCCAGCTGAAATTTTAAGAGGGTATTTTGGATATCATTGTCTAACTTTGGTCCAAGAAATGGGATTGAATAATGTGAGAGGATATTTTTTCATGGCCGATGATGCGATTTTCAATCTTTGGAACTCAATTAATTTTGATTTTGTACATCATTTGACTGGTGACTCTTATGAGAACAGTACAAATTGGTGGAAAACGGAATATGGTAGGTGGAGAGAAGTTTTTTCTGAAAATTCTAGATTAAACATAAACATAAATTCAAATATTTTGAAATCCAAGTTTCGTAAATCAGTTAAGTTAATCTGAATCTCCGAAATTTGGAAACGCTGTATTCTAAAACGCAGAGAATCTGGAATTAGATTTTTCAAATTTTAGAAATTCAGAAATTCAGAAATTCAGAAATTCAGAAATTCAGAAATTCGGATATTCAGAAATTCAGAAATTCAGAAATTCAGAAATTCAGAAATTCAGAAATTCAGAAATTCAGAAATTCAGAAATTCAGAAATTCAGAAATTCAGAAATTCAGAAATTCAGAAATTCAGAAATTCAGAAATTCAGAAATTCAGAAATTCAGAAATTCAGAAATTCAGAAATTCAGAAATTCAGAAATTCAGAAATTCAGAAATTCAGAAATTCAGAAATTCAGAAATTCAGAAATTCAGAAATTCAGAAATTCAGAAATTCAGAAATTCAGAAATTCAGAAATTCAGAAATTCAGAAATTCAAAAATTCAAAAATTCAGAAATTCAAAAATTCAGAAATTCGGAAATTTAGTAAATCAAAAATGCGAATTTTTGAAAATCGAGAATTCGTCAATATAGAATTTCGAAAGTCGGAGAATTCGGGATTAATTTCAAATTTGGAAATATCCTAAATTAAAAAATTAAATACTTTTCTGAAAGTTGTAAAGCGAAAAAGGTTTTAAAAATAAATTAATTTTCAGGTCTGGAATCCGCCAAAAATATTCTACAAACCATCCAAAATACCAATGATCCCAAAATTCTGGAAACTTGGAAGCAATTGAAAATGGTTTGAAAGTTAATGGATTTTCGAAAAATAACCAAACCGTCATTAATGAAATGCTCTCGAGTCGAGGAAGAAGTGTCTCGGATTTGTAAGAATTTGAACCATTGAAATTTTAAAATTAAAAAAAATCGAATTTCAGTTTTTACATTCCATCATCTGCAATTTCTTACTATTCAAGAATAATGAGAATTTTCTATGAGCACAAATTATTTTTGGAAATCGCGGTGAACAAATTTTTGAAATCTATACATCATGAAATGTGACTTTTGGAATTTTTTGAAAAAAAAATGCAAATTTATTTTTTCAGATCTCTACCCCACCAATATCGGTATCTCTGGAAAAATGACAGGGGCCAATGGGACCAAATTTATTCAGAAATTTTGATAGCAATACATCCGGTTAAAATGAGTGGATTTAGAATTCCTGGGGATAGTCGAATAAGGTACTTTTTAGAAAAATTTGAAAATTAAAAAAAAAACAGTTTTCTTTTCAGATACTGTAGCTCCGTACTGAAAACTTGGTCACAAATGGTATTTGGAGGATCTCAAGGTTTTAATGAAACTATGATTTTGTAATTGTGATGGTGTAGAATGAATGATTTATAAAAACCTGAACATTCTGTAAAAAGCAACAATGTAAAAATTGAATTGTGAAAATTTTGAAATGTTTCTCGAAGTCTTGGAAAACTCCAAAAAAAGTTGGGATTTTCATAATTTGAAAATTCAGAAGTTCAGAAATTCAGATATTCAAAAATTCAGAATAAATTCAGAAAATGAGAAATTCAGAAAATCATAATTTCAAAAATCAAAAACTACAATAATTATGGGAACTCAAAAATTAAATTCGAAAAATAGAAATTCAGAAAAATCTAAAACTTCAGATAATTCCAGAAAAACCGGAAAATTATGAAAAATCGAAAAATACAGTGGTTTTGAATATTCTCAAATCCATATTTTAGGAAAGAAAATTCCAAAAAAAAAAAACCAGAAATTTTAGAAATTTTGAACTTATAACATTTCAGGAAATCAAGAATCCCAAGGAATTCCAGAAAAATGAGAAAAATCAGAAATTCAGAAATTCGGAAAAGTTGGAAATCCCTAAAAAGTCGAAATTCAGAGGTTCTGAAATTCAAAAAAAAATTCAGAAATTTAGAATTGAGAAATTTGGGTATCCAAAGCTTGCGCAAGTTGACCTGAAAATAAATCAAAAAATAAAATTAAAAAATCTTTATTTTAAAAATCATCTGGAATCACATAAGGATGCATTTACGACGTTTCTTTTTCATCTTTTCAACTTTCTGCCATGCGATTATTCGTGCCCTTTCCGCTTCCCTTTCTTTTCTCTCAAGTTCCTTCTTTGCGTTCCATTCAGCAAATTCCTTCGAATGATTTTTCTTATACTTGTCGTGCTCGATTTTGCGCTTCTTGATCGCTTCCGTTTCGTGCTTCAGAGCTAATGGAAAATACTTGATCTCAGGATCGAGCGGCATCTCTCGTAAAAACTTATCAAAATCTGATAAAACATGTACACAGCGGAAATTTTTATCTGTGTAGAGAAGATCAGGTCCATAAATAATTGAAAAGTCTCCTTCGATGCTTTTGAAGTAGGTTTCTTTATCATCTTCAATTGGCAGATTTAGAGTCTGAAATTATTTATTTTTGGGATAACTCAAAACTCTCAAAAAGAGCTAAATATCTTACTGCCTCTTCCAACAATCCAATTTGAAAATGCAAAGTCTCGCCTGCCTTCATTTCGGAATAAATTTGGGATTTATTCTTTTCCGTAGCTGTTGGGTTGAGAATTCGAAAAAGCAACGAATCAACGGTCACAAAAACGTCTTTAATCTTTTCGGAAATATTCTTCACTTGCACTTGTAGTGGATTATCCGGACTAATCAGAAAGTTTTTTGGAGTGATTTCAAATGGGAAATCCATTCAAAAAGCAGTTGAAGTAAATTTTGTTCTCTGAAATGTGGAAGTTTTAGGTTTTTTTTCTGGTGAAATTTGAAAGTTCTTACTCTATTTGAAAATTTGAGGAATATATTTGTTTTGAAATTTATAGCCATTTTTGTATACACGTTTATTTATTTTTGAAAAACAACGTGGTTAAAAATATTTATTCTTTCTTCAATCCATCATCGATAGCTGCCCAAAATGGATCTTCTTTAGTTGAAGGTGAAAGGATTTTACATTTGGAGAACTGGAAAAGAAACGATTGAAATTGAGAAACCTGATTCCACTTACTCTGACTACGAGAAGATACACCGTGATTACCCAGAGTTGTCTGATTTACAGCAAATAATTAGAAAGGTAAAATAGAGAGTGGCACAAAAACAGTGAAAAGTTTTTTGGATTTAAATTTCCAGCTACTCTAACCCATCCTAATCCTCGATAACTAATTTCAAACTTACTGTTTTGACCGTCCACTTGTCCGTTGTATTAGTGGACTGAAAAAGTGAGATTCGTCTGTGAGGTTTGTCCGTGAGGTTCGTCCGTGTGAGACGTCCGTGTGAGACGTTCCGTGTTACTCTTTCTTCAATCCATCATCGATACCTGCTTAAAATGGATCTTCTCTAGTTGAAGGCGAAAAGTCTCTTAATTTTTTTTTCAATTTTTCAGAATCATGAAAAGTCAAAATCAAAAGTGATAATTTTAGGTTTAAAAACATTTACCGTAAACACTCTAATAGAACGCCACCCGGAACGTCCATTTTCAGCCTATATATCTCACTTCTTCTGAAAGATATCAAAAATTGTCAACTAATAAAATGTTTTTCATGATATCAGCAACATTTTATTAGTTAACCACTTTCTGATATCTGTCAAAGATAATGAGATATATGTGGTCAAACTTGCCGATTTCTTTAGTGTTTATGGCAATTTCTAAATTTCTGATTTTTTTTTCTGAAATTTTATAGTTCTGGTAGTTTTGTGAATTCTCAATTTTGCTTTTTTGGATGTTCCAAATATCGAGAATTTCTGAATTTTTAATCAAAAAAAAATATATGAGTTTCAGATTTTTTTTCTGAAAGTTCGGAACTTCAGATTTTTTGAGATTTTGAGATTTTTCAAATTTTTGTGATTCACATCTTTAAACTTTTTGTAATTTCTGCCTTGTTTCAATAGTTTTTGAACCTTCCGGTACAGTGCTCATCATTATTTTTCGTCATAATTTCTTCAATTTTTGATGACTGATCATCGAAATATCACATGTATATAAAAAATTTAGTTACTTGTTTCTAGACATTTTCCCAAGAACTCATTACATTTTCTCACGGTTCACATGAAATGAAACAGAAATTTGGTCAGAAAGTTCAAAAAAAATTTTATGACATAAAAATCTGACTTGGAAATTTTTTTGAGCTGAAAAATGTATTTTGTCGAAAAAGTCTAGTTTGAAAAAGTTTTGAAAAAATCAAGAAAATCTTTAATTTTTTTCATATTACCTCAAAATTTAAAACTTTAATATTTTTTCCAGATTCCAAAAATGTCCCTGGACACAATTTTCACAGTATACTATGCATTTTACTTCATTTTTTCTATATCTGCTCAACTTTTTGTACTATTTTTGATTATATTTCATAGTCCATCGAACTTAAAAGATATGAAAAAATTAATGATGGCCACCTCGACTTCACAAATTATCATGTGCCTATCTGCGTTTTTGACACAAGTGAGGTAAGAGATTTTTGGAATTTTGAAGTTTTGAAATGTTGAAATTCTGAAATCCCCAGATTCGCGGTTTTTAAGATTATTGAAAAAGATAAAAGATTATTGAAAAAGTTAAAAAGATTATTGAAAAAGTTAAAAGATTTTGAATTTCGAAATTTCCGATTTTCTGAGATTTTAAGATTTTGATTTTTTGAGATTCTGATGATATTTAACAATTTATGAAGATTCTGAAATTCTGAGGTCCTGAGATTATGAAATTCAGAAGCTATGTGATTCTGAGATTTTGAAATTCTGAAAACCTGAAATTCCAAGATTCTACAGTCCTCAGATTCGTGGTTTTTAAGATCTTGAAATTTTGAATTTCAAAGCTTCCGATTTCCTGGGATTCTGAAAATTTGAAATTCTAACATTCTGAATTCTGGATACTGGAACATTAATAAATTCTGAGATTCTAAGGTTTGATTTTGGAGGTTTAGAGATTCTCAGATTCTTAGATTATTAGAGTCTGAGATTTTCAGGTTCTGAAATTCTTTTTTCGGATTTTCAGAGTTTTGGAGTTTCTAAGATTCTGAGTTTCTGAAATTCTAAGAATTTGAGATTCGTTCTGTAATTTCGTTCTGTACGAAGTTCTGTAATTTTAGATCTCTGAATTTTCAATAATTTGATTTTCAGAGGTTTGGATATTTTGAGATTCCGAAATTCTGAAATTCCGAGATTCTAAAATTTTCAGATTTTTTCAGAATCGTCCCAATTGACTCTTCAATTGCTCTTCTTTCATTTGGATCATGCACATTATTGGGTCATCAAGCTTGTCTGGCGACATATAACATGCTGAATGTGAGTTTTTTAAAAGTTCGCCAATTCAGAAACTTGAAAACTCGGAAATTCGAAAAAATATCACTTGTTAGCTTATTTTTCACACTAAAAATGCTGAATTTGGTTTCGAAAAAACTCAAATTCTCCCGATTTTTCACTTAAAATATAAAATTTGAATTCCAAAAAATATTTTTTTTCAGATTTTTAAAATTTTTTTCTGAAATTTTTTTATTTTTAGTCGGAATCATAATTTTTTTAAATTTAAAAATTCATAAACTCAGAAATTCAGTAATTCAAAGATTCAGGAATTCGAAGATTTCAAAATTCAGATTGAGAAATTTAGAAATTCAGGAATTTAGTAATTTCATCTGTGTTTCCAGACATCCGGATGTCTTGTCGTCGCTTCTCTCCTCCACATGATGTTCTATCGACGTCGTCTGCTGACGACGTTGAAAAAATTTTCCAATGGACAATTTTTCTTCAACTGTGTCATTGTCTATTTTTTGAGTGCAATTGTACTAGTGGGTTTTTTGGAATTTTTTGATTCTCAAAAAATTTTCAAAAAATTTCAGATTTTTTCATTCTTGGGTCCAACGGATTTCGAATTCATTCGAGCCCTGGTGATTACAAATTATCCATATATAGATTTGAATTCATACACATTGTCCGGATTTTCAAACGTCAAACATTTTTTCTGTTCAACTGCAACTGGTATTATTGCAGCACATGCTTACATACCACCATTTGTAGCATTGATATGGAGAGGGTTAGTGGAAATTTGTAATTTTGGATTTTCAAAAGTTTGATTGTGAGAGAATTACGAGGAATACTCGAGGAATTTTCAATGTGATGACCTAATTTTGACATAAGAATTTTCTCGGCCACCGTAGTCGATAGCCTAGAAATGACCTAACACCCGCTGATGTGTTTTCTAGGTCATTTTCAAATGGTGGCCCAACTTTTGCAACTTGAGTTTTCTAGGCCACCATGTTAAAATGGCCTAGAAATGATCTGATATTCATTTCGAGAGATTTTTAAGCCGTTTTGGGGTGGTGGCCTAGAAAACTCAAATTGGAAAAGTTAGGCCATCGTGTTAGTATGACCTAGGAATCACACCAAATGAAAATCAGTTTTACTCCTAGATCATTTACCATAGTGGCCTAGAAAACTCAACATGTGAGAGTCAGGCCGTCACCTCAAAATGGTCCAGAAATGATCTGATATTCTTTTGGTGTGTTTCCTAAGTTATTTTGAGATGGTGGACTAACTTTCGCAAGTTGAGTTTTCTAGGCCACCAACCTTTTGGTCTGGAAATGGCCTGATATTCATTTGGTGTGATTCCTAGGCCGTATTAACATCTAGGCCAACACATCTATGCCTTTGCGTTACTCTTTTTTTTTGCAAAAAATTCAAAAAAAAAAAGAAGAATTTTTCCAGAAAAATCGTTTCTGAAATCAATTCTCAACGGTTATCTTTGTCTTCTCGTACCCAGCTTCAAACTCGAAATTTCGTCAAATGTCTCACTTTTCAAACTTGTCTCCCATTATTTTTCTACGTTCTACCGTATACATTCTACCTCATTCAACAGATTTTTGGCATTGGTTTTACGATTACCGAATATTTAATTTTCCCTCTAAACACTTTTTCCGCAGTTCTGGACCCAATTTTTATGTTATATTTCATTAAACCATATCAACGAAAAGCGAAAATCATAATTTCCGAAATGTTTGGGCTGAGCAATCTCGGGAATTCGAGTACGGTAGCGACGGTGAATAGCAACACCTCGCAGGTGTGATTTTCAAGGAACTTGATGTTTTTATTTTTTTTTTTAACGAAATACGAAATTGAGCGAAAAATAAAGATTTTACTGTTTTTTTTTGGAATTTCAGAAATTTTGGGTTTTCCCATATTTAAGGCCAGACATGAAAGTCTACGGAGTTTTCTTGGAGCGAGATCATCTGACGAAAAGGGTGTGCGCCTGCGACCGATGCGCACTACTTGACGAGCATTTATTTCTTTTAGAATACACGGCTAAAAATATATTATAGATGGTAATCGAACCCGCGATGCGCGACCGATAGACAAGCGCGCTCACCTCTACACCACACGGCGCCTGTCGCACGGCACCCCAGCGCAACAAATGGCGAAAAATCGCGAAAGCGCGCTCTGCTGCTAATACAGTACCTTGTGTCGATTTACGGGCACCAAGCCATAAAATTTGCACTGAAAATCGCATTTTCTCGTTATAAAAAAGTTCTAGCTTTGTTTTTCGAAATCAATTCAATAGCAATTGTAGCCTGGGTCATTCTCCATCTAAAAAGTCCAAAATGTTGCATGTAGGTGCTTCCTAGGAAAAATTATTAGAGCTCGAAAAACCCGATTTTTGAATTTATTTTCAGAATCACATAATTTATAATTTCGATGACGATTGTTCGGATTTTTCTACTCTATATTGATCCTTCTACGCTGAAAATCTGTTTTTACGGGCTTGGAACGTGTCGTCGCCTATATTTTTCCCTTATTTGGTAACTGCAGACACAAACGTTTGGGCACAAAAAAATTTCATTTTATGACGAACTTTCAAATAAAAAAAGAAACAATAACAAGAATAGATTATCAAGCCCTCCGATCCCTCCATAGTTCTCATTTTCTAAAAAATTCGGCGGAGAAGTATTATCTGGTCATGAGCAACTAACCGCACTTTGTTATTGAAAAATCGTCGAAGATGAACGGAGAAGCATACCCGAGAATTATCTGAAAAAAAAATAAGAGAAAAAGCAAAATATTGCAGGGAAAACGAACCTTTCTAACGCGATTTTTAAAAATATGCAGGAAGCTGAAGGATCCACTGTTCAAGCCGAAAAACATTGGTGGAATCTGAAAAAAGATATCTGAATGTCATTTTTAGGAAAATCAGACCGAAAAAAGATAAAAAAGGCAGAAATTCTTGCAAAAAATGATTCATGTCCAAATCAATATAAAAATTGATGCGAGAGAGTACGAACCTCTTGAGAGACGCAGTCAACGATGGTTGGCGTGTTACCTGCAACTTAGCGTGAAGCGCGTCAGCAGCTACTTTGCGCGTCGCGTCGCTGGGGTGCCGTGTGTCGTCTACTGCCGCTAAAACGATTATGAAACGAGGAGTGGGCGCTGCTTTAGCCGCCGCTTGGAAGAACACTCGCGTTCTCGCTTGTACAGTAACAGGGAGTTATGGTTTTGTGTCCATTGTTATTTTCTGACTGTCATGTGTTATATATCAAACAACTAGAATTTTGAAAATTTTCATGTCTGGCGTCCTTTAAATTTTTTTCGGATTTTTCAAAAAAAAATATTTTTTCATTTCACAAGCACTGTGGAATCAGAGAAACATAAAGAAAGCTGGAGACGATTGCATAATAACGGGGAGGTTTTTGTCAAAAAACATCAAATTTACATTAAAAAAGGAAAACGGGAGAAGAGACAAAACATGACATTTTTGCGTATTTCTACTAACAAACGAAAAGGAAAACGGGGAGTGAAAAGTAAAAAGAAATCGGAATTTTCAAGAAAAAAACCCGTTCTACAATAAAAACTACAAAAAACTACCGACTATCGAAGAGAAAAACTAGTGAAATAATAGCTAAAAACCAGGAGAAGAACTATTGGAAATGGACGTTTTTAGTCCGTTTTTGGGGTTTTCCAGAGACAAAAAATGGGGAAAATGAGTGGAAATGGGTTTTTTAGAGCATTTTAGGAAATTTTAGATTAAAAAATGGGTGAAAATCGGGAGAAATGAGGGAATGGACTCTTCCAGTCCATTTTTCGGGAAATTTTAGACTTAAAAAAGAGGAGAAAAAGAGAAAAACGGAATTTAAGCCATAGAAAAAGGTTTAAAAAGGGAAAACATAGGGGTTTGAGAGGAAAAAATATGAGAAAAATGGATAGAAAAAGAGGAAAAGTTGTGGGGTAAAATAGAGAAAACTGCTGAAAGTCGCGATTTCAAAGACGAAAAAATATGAAAACATGATGATTTTCAGCGAAAAAATCAGTAAAAATTGGAGTTTTGAAGTTTCTCTGAGAATTTTGAAGCCAAAAATTATGATTTTTCAGAGAGTTTTAATCTGAAAATCGATATTTTTCAGCAGTAGCTGCTGAAAATCTAGTTTTTCTGAGTTTCATAAATCAATGTTGGCTCAAAAATTATGCAGAAAATCTCAATGTTCGAGGCAAAAAATTTCAAAAATGATGATTTTTCGAACATCCGAAAAATCGCTTTTCAGAGATTTTCGAACTAAAAATTACGATTCTTAAAGCAACTTTTAGGCCAAAATGAATAAAAATCGCGTTTTTCTAGTAATTTTTTGCCATTTTAGCTTGAAAATCAAGGAAAATCCCAAAAAAAAATCCGAAAAATGACGATTTTTCAAAATTTTTAAAATCAATTCCCAGCAATTTTCCAACTAAAAATTACAATTTTTAGGCTAAAATGACCCAAGATCACGATTTTTTTTTTTCGGGGGGAAAAAGCAAGGGAAGCTAGGTGGAAAAAAGAATTTTCAAGGGAAAAAATCAATAAAAAGAGAGAATTTGACAGAATTTAAAGCATATTCTAGCGATTTTTAAGCTGAAAATCATGATTTTTCAACATTTTAAAGCGAATTTTCAAACAAAAAAAGCTGAAAAATCACAATTTTCTAGAGGTTTTAGGGGTCAAAAAGTACAAAAATAAGTGAAAAAAGAAAATCAGTGAAAATTTAAACAGGATTTGCTCCGATTCCGAACAACTTTTGCAAGAATTCCGGCTCTTTTTCGACGACCAATTTCGCTTTTTTCTTCTGATTATTCGATTTTTGAAGTGTTTGAAGGCGTGCCTGTTCCGCTGCTTTTTGACGAGCTGCCGCTCTTTCACGTTCCATTTTGGCCACTTGTGGAACTACTGAAAAAAAAAATTGGGGTAAATTTTTTGCTGAAAGTCTCTGAAAATAGCTGAAAACTCAAAAATCTCTGAAAAGTCGATGAAATTCGTTTTAGAAATTCTGATTTTCTGGATAAAATTAGTCAATTTTGGAGCTTTTTCTCAAGTTTTTTCGATTTTTCTGGACACATTTTTATCGAAAATCGCAGTTTACAATATTGAAAATAGCAGAAAATCTCTGGAAATCGCTGAAAATCGTGAGAAAATTGAGAAAATTTAGCTAGAAAAAAGAAAAAAAACTTTGAGAATTTTTTCATATTTTCAACCCATTTTTTTCGAAAATGTTCAGTTTTTAATGTTGAAAATTGCAGAAATCTCTGAAAATCGGGGAAAAATAGTAATATTTTGCTGGAAAAGTAAGAAAAACCTAGTGAAAATGAGCATTTTCAAGGCTAACTAAAAACACAGATTTTCCGGAAAAAAATAGAATTTTTTTTTCGATTTTTCTAGAATTTTTAAACTCAAGAATTGCAGTTTTCAATTTGAAAGTAGCAAATCTGTAAAATTTGCAAAAAATCGTGAAAAAAATCGGAAAATTTTGCTGGAAAAATAGGAAAAAATCCATGAAAAATTCGGCATTTTCAAGTCTAAAAATTCAGATTTCCTGGATCAAAAATAGTCCATTTTTTCGAATTTCCCTGTTTTAATCACCCCAATTAACTCTCTAATTACCTTTTCTTGGCATCTGACGTGGCGGCTGACGAGCCTCTTCCTCCTTCTCGGCAGCTCGTTTTAGAGATCTGGAAATGTTGAAAATTGACTGAAAATCGATAATTTCAGCGATTTATAGGTTGAAAATGGTTCAGAAATCGATTTTTTCAGTCGGAAAATTATAAATTTTCAGCTTTTTTCAGCGATTTCCTCGCAAAATGAACTAATACAGTTTCTCAGCAGGATGGACCAAAAGATATTGAAATTTCAGCATTTCTGAACTGAAAACCAGAGTTTTGATTCGAAAAATCGCATTTTACAGCTTAGAATCAGCATTTTCAGCATATTTCAAGCCACAAAAACCAAAATTTCTGAAAATTTTTGAATTTTTGAAACACACTTTCGCTGTTCTTGCTTCTTGAGCGACTCCTCCTTTTTCGATTTTTCTCGAATTTCCTTCTCCAAACCAATGTCTTTCTCGTTGACATGCTCGCAATTTCTGCAAATTTTCGTCGGTGGAATTTCCAATTTTCTTAAATTCAAAGAGAAATTTAAAATTTTGAATTTCCCGCTCACTTTTCGATTGGCGGCGGTGGTGGCATTCCGCACTTTGCGCAGCAACGATGCTTCTCGTCGGATTTGCACTGAAAAAATAAACTTTGAGAAAGAAAAAAACATTTCAAGAGATTTTCTTTTCAATCTTACCGCTTCCCACGCCTGTTTCTCATAGTGAGCCACTAAACAATCCGGAAATTTTCTTTCTTTTCCATTTTCCGCGAGCTTGTGAAGAAATTTCGCGGTTTGCTCGTCTTTCGGCTCTTCATCCACTAGTTTCTCATCAGTTTTCGACATTATTAGCCTGAAAATTCGTAATTTCCAAGCTTTTTTCATCTAGAAAATATTTTTAATAAGAAAACTCGGCGAAAATCGATGGAAAAAATGAAAAAAAAGGAAAAATTCCGAATTACGACACTCCGCCCTTACGGAGTGCGCTTTGTTTAGCGTGTGCAATTTTTCGGCGGTAGTTTGAAAAATATTTTTTATTTGATTACATATGATTTTATATTGTCAATTCAAAAAGATCGCACCGGTGAACACACAAACAAACAAGTTAACAAGGGGGCGGAGCGATCCGCCCCTTTCCGCAAAGGCGCCGCGCAGTTTTTCGACGGTATTTTAGCGAGGCGGTTTTTTGGTAATGTTTCATCGAATTTCTTCCGAATTGAAGGAAATTCGTCGATATTGTGAAGGAATATATAACTTTGTTTTAATAAAAACTGAGAAACACAATTGGGAAACACTATTCTCTGATTCAGGGTGAAAATGAAATGAGCAAGACCATGTGACGTATCGAATCCTGCAATGATGAAAATAGGAAGTAGTAAAGCTTTGAGATCACATAAAACATAAATTATCATTGTAAAGTTTCCTGAAAACCTGAAAAACTCGATCGGAGAAGTATTTAGAGTAATTTGTCGACTAACCGCAGATTATTCAACACTTCTTCATAGTTGTGATCCCAGAAGGCGATTTTTCTTATTAGATGATGGATGAATTAGAAAAAAATCGACGAATTTCCTTTAATTCGGAAGAGATTCGATGAAAAATTACCAAAAAACGGCATCGCTAAAATACCGTCGAAAAACTACCTTTGCGGAAAAGGGCGGATCGCTCCGCCCCCTTGTTTACTTGTTTGTTTTGTGTTCACCGGTGCGATCTTTTTGAATTGACAATAACGATTTCTTACAAAGCGGGGATTTCTACTGGAAAAAACTTGTAAAATAAGGAAAAATTTAATTCTCGAAAACCAAAAAACTCGATGAAAATCTGCTTCAACCTAAAAAAAAGTGAGAAAATGTTTTTTTTTAATTAAAACTAAAAAATTTATTGAAAAATTTTAACTTTCAGAAAAATAGTTTCTAAATATTATGGATTGGTTGAACTGGTTGCGAAGACTTCCGTCGGTTATGCCAAAGTGTAATTGTATTGACACGGACATCGCCTGGAATTTTTTAAATAAATACAAATCCTGAAAAAAATCCTAAATATTGTAAAACTTACTTTCAGGTTCTCGGTAATCATTTGTGAAATCATTCGTTTCACTGCTCTACGGTAAGGAACAATGAAATAAATTTGAAGAATTGGATCGAAAAATGCAGGAAGAGTGATCATAAAACATAGAGTATACTGGGAAATTTGAATTTGTTCGCCTGGAAAAAAAATTAGGAAATTTTGGAAATGTGAATATTTGCGAATTTTTTAAAATTCAAAAGACAATTAATTTTTTTCCGAATTTTTACTAATTTTGGCTCTATTGAATATGATCGTAGCGGTCCCTAGAGAAAATAACGATCCCGAGTGAAAATAACGGTCTGGAGCGTAGTTGGGAACCCAAGGACCCAGGCTCCCAGGGACCCAGGGACCCAGGGACCCAGGGACCCAGGGACCCAGGGACCCAGGGACCCAGGGACCCAGGGACCCAGGGACCCAGGGACCCAGGGACCCAGGGACCCAGGGACCCAGGGACCCAGGGACCCAGGGACCCAGGGACCCAGGGACCCAGGGACCCAGGGACCCGGGGACCCAGGGACCCAGGGACCCAGGGACCCAGGGACCCAGGGACCCAGGGACCCAAGGACCTAAGTACACAGAGACCCAAGGACCTAAGAACCCAAAGACCTAAGAACTTAAGGACCCAAGGACCCAAGGACCCAAGGACATAAGGACTCAGGGACTCAAGGACCCAAAGACCCAAGGTCCCTGGGACCCAGGGACCTAGGGACACAGGGTCTCAGGGACCCAGGAACCCAGGGACCCAGGGACCCAGGGACCCAGGGACCCAGGGACCCAGGGACCCAGGAACCCAGGGACCCAGGGACCCAGGGACCCAGGGACCCAGGGACCCAGGGACCCAGGGACCCAGGGACCCAGGGACCCATGGACCCAGGGACCTAGGGACTCAGGGACTCAAGGACCCAAAGACCCAAGGACCCAGGGACCCAGGGACCCAGGAACCCAGGGACCCAGGGACCCAGGGACCCAGGGACCCAGGGACCCAGGGACCCAGGGACCCAGGGACCCAGGGACCCAGGGACCCAGGGACCCAGGGACCCAGGGACCCAGGGACCCAGGGACCCAGGGACCCAGGGACCCGGGGACCCAGGGACCCAGGGACCCAGGGACCCAGGGACCCAGGGACCCAGGGACCCAAGGACCTAAGTACACAGAGACCCAAGGACCTAAGAACCCAAAGACCTAAGAACTTAAGGACCCAAGGACCCAAGGACCCAAGGACATAAGGACTCAGGGACTCAAGGACCCAAAGACCCAAGGTCCCTGGGACCCAGGGACCTAGGGACACAGGGTCTCAGGATGTTCTGAAAACTTGATTTCTGAATTTCCGAATTTTTGAATTTCTGAATTTTCAAAATTCTAAATATTCAAAAAATTACCTGAATATTTATTATAAACATAGAAAAATCCAACTGGCACATAGCAAATCAATGGAATCATAATTTGTAGGCCGAGACCCTGAAAATTGAAAAAAAACTCCGTCTTGTAAAATTCTGTGCCCGGCATTTTTTTCCAACTTACATGAATCAAAGCCCTGAATTGCATAACACTATGAACTGAAAGTGCATTTCGATTCAAATCCAAAATTTTCAATGTTTCATTTCTCCAATAAAATCCCAAAAGTGGTGCTATAGTCGCCAGAATCACTAAAATTAGTGTTACCAGAGTCATAAAAATGTTATGGGAGTTCGCGAATCCTCCGAAAACTTTATAGTTTGAAAAATCGTAATCCACATGGATTTTTAGCGTTTCCCAATAAACAGCATCTAGATCGATTGGAGGGATGTAGGAGAAAATCTGAAACTAGGGATTTTTTTTGAAACTTGTGATTTTTTGGAAAGTTGGATTTTTGAGATTTTAGAATTTTTAGAATTTCTTGAATTTTTAGAATTTTATTTAGATTTTCAGATTTTTTTCAGCAAATTTCGGATTTTCAGAATTTTTCAGATTTTCAGAACTCTTGAAACTTTGGATTTTCGAAAAGAATTTGCAGAATTTTTCGGCTTTTAGAACTTTTTTTGAAAATTTGTTTGGAATTTCGAAAATTGAACTTTTTCAGACCTTTTGGATTTTCAGAATTTTCTAGAAGTTTGAGGATTTTGATTTCTTTTCGAATTTTGCAAATTTGTGAAAGTTTTAGAAATTTCAGGAATTTCAGGTTTTCGTATTTTCAGAGTTTTCATATTTTCAGATTATTATCAATTTTCATCATTTTCAAATTATAGATTTTTCACAATTTTCAGGATTTTCGTAATGTAATAATTTTCAATGATTTTCCAGATTTTTTGGTTTTTTGTAATTTTCAGAAGTTTCCAAAGTTTCAGATATTGAATTCCAGAACATTCTACATTCCCTAACAAACCTTCAAATTCAGTTGGCCTAGAATTTGCTAGGCCATTTCAACCCCAAAAATGAAACTTACAATGATAACCAGTGGAAAAATATACCAAAGTCCAAAAATGAAAACTCGCAAACTCAAATTTTGGATAAACTTTATACTGATAAGACGGTAATATAATGTGTGAATGTTGAGAATTCCGCCAGCTGTGGCCGTGGCCTAGGAATACAAAACTTTGAAAAAAAAACTTTTACAAAAAATTGATGACCTAGAAACCCCATTTTTGGGTTTCTAGGCCACCTGTCCAACCCTTACCAGTATAAAAATGTAACCATGGAAACACCAAGCAGGACCCAGAAATTTACATGGTCCCTGACACATAATTGCCAAGGATTTCACATTATGGACGTTTCTGGAAGAAAAATTGTTGCTGGCCTAGAAAACCAATATTAGGCCACCTACCTGAACTGCAAAAAGAATGTTAAAAATGCCAAAAAGAAGTTGATGAAATTCGATGGATACAAAAAATAACGCATGTTTCTGAGCACTTTAGTGGTTTTGAAATAGATTAAATAAAATAATAAAATGTGTAAAATTAGGCAGAATATAAAAAATATTGGGTAGTAGATGGCGGTTAGTTGGTTTAGAATTTCGCGCATTTCCCTGAAATTTTAAGGACTTTTTAGATTTTTTTTTTCGGAAAAGTTGGAAACATGAAAAAAACGGAGAAATTAACAATGGTTAAAAACTCAAATTTGGATGTCCGGAAAATTTGAAAAAGAGGAAAAAAATTGAAAATCGAGAAGTAGGAAATTTGATAATACTTGTACTAGAAAAAGAAATAATTGAATCGAGAAAACTTTGAATTCAGAAAATTATGGAAATTAAAAAAAAAGCGGAAATACGGAACTGAAACATTCAGAAGTCCGAAAATTCGGAATTCCAGAATCCCAGAATTTCAGAACTTCCTAATGTCAGGATTCCCTAATTTCAGAGTTTCACAATTTCGGAAATTCAGGAATTCAAAAATTCAGAAATTCGGAAATTACCAGATATTCAGAAATGTCACAAAAATCCAAAGTTCAGATATTCCTGAAAATTTCAAAAACATGGGAATTTTCAAAATTTCAAGAAAAAATATATTGGAAAAAATATGGAAAATTTTGAAAACTTCAAGCTTCTCCATTTTTCAATTAATAAAGTCAGAAGTATTCAAAATCAAAGAATTATATCAATTTTATATTAAAAATAAAAAATGTTCTAACATAAAAAAATTTTCATGAGTCGTCTGATTTTTTGTTGTTTTTCTCATTAATATTATTTGACACAAAAAAAGACACATCAAACCTAATTTCCGTGTTCAAAAATTTCAGGAAATTCTCTGAAATTTCCACATGAGCTAGACTAGAAAATGATGAGTATTTTCTCAGAACATGTCGTGTTTTTTTTTCGAAATTTTGCTGAAAAAATATATTACGTAGGCTAGAAACATTTTTATTTGACGACTCACAATCAGTCAGAAAAAAAATCTGATTTCTAGAAAAATCCAAAAAAAGCTCAGTTTTTTTGGATTTTTGAAGAAAAAAAAATTAATTGAATTTGATCGGAATCAATTATTCAATTAAAGAGTTTTTTCCAGCAAAGTTTCCTTTTTGACGATTTTTGGATTTTGAGACATCTGTAACAAACTTTTTTCTGAAAATCTGTGATTCCACAGGTGTGAAGATTCCTAGAAACAATTCAATTCAATTTTTGACCATTTGAAAAAAATCTGGAAAAGTGCAAAAAATGTTTTTATGCATCAAAAATCTGAAAATGTCTGAAAACATTTTTTTTGTAGGAAAAGTTGGTGGTCTGAGACAGCTGAAAAATTGAATTAATCTTTAGATTCGGAAAATTTTTTTAAGTTTTGAAACTTGGATTTTCAGAACTTTCGAGAGCCAAGCAATTCAGAAAAGTTTTATTTTCAAGGCTGTGCCACGGCCGCCCGCAGTATCTTGAATAGGGTACTTCTGAGATAGGTAGGGTACGGTGGCCTAGCGGCCCTAGTAGTACCTGGGTAGTAGGGTTCCGAATTTGAAAAAGCAAGGTGAGCTTTTACGTGAAAATGAGCTTTTCAAATAGCTCATTAAGGCTCATTTGATTTTGAATGAGCTTTTTGAAAAAAAAAAACAAAAAAGCTCACGTGACTCTTTTTTAGCTTTATCAAAAAGCTCATAAAGGCTCATAAGGCTCATTCTGTGATTTTTATTAAAAAGCTCATTATGACTCATCATTCATAATAAAAGGAAAATAATTGTTTAGAATGTCACTGATATGGAAAAAATCACCGTTTTAATGTGGTGGCCTAACTTTTTGATAGAGTTTTCAAAGCAATTTTAACACGGTTGCCGAGAAAACAAATGAGGTGAATGCCAGACCATTGATAGGCCATAAAAGTTGTTGCCCTAGAAAACTCGAAATGTAGAAGTTAGGCCATTGTGTCCAAATGAGCTAGAAACCCTATCAGGTGAATGTCAGACGAGTTATGGTCCATAAAAATGGTGGCCTAAAGAACTTAACATGAAAAGTTGGGGCACTGTGTCAAAATTGACCACAAAACATATTAGGTTCATGACAGACCATTTCTGGATCATAAAACTTGATGGCCTAGAAAACTCACTTGAAAAAGTTAGGCCACCAAGTGTTAAATGGCTTGACCTGATATGATTTCTAGGCTATTTTCACAGGATGACCTAATTTTTGCAAGATAATTTTTCTAGGCCACCATTTATTTTTTAGGCCACCATTGTTTCTGCCCATCAGGGCACTTGATTAGTTGAATATTTGGCTGAAGTAATGGTTTTTATTATTATTTTTTTCCACGTGAACACTTGTCTAGTGTATCTTTTGAACTATGCTTCCGTGAGCCTTTTTTTTGAAAAAGAGTCAACGTGAGCTTTTTTAAAAATGAGCCTCGATGAGCTTTTTTCAAAATCAATATTTTCGTCAAATAAGCCTGTATGAGCTTTGACGTGGAGTCGAAAAAGGCTCATATGAGCCTGCTTCATGATGAGCCCACGTGAGCTTAAGCTCATGACTGAGCTTTTTTCGGAACCCTACTGGGTAGCTGAGCTTTTCTTCGAAAGAACGGTCGGATTGGTCCTTGCAAAGTACCCACGGCCTCGGCCGCAACCGCGTTTTGCACAGCCTTGCCGATTTTCAGAAATTCGGAAGTTCAGAAATTCCTAAAATTAGAACTTCAGGATTTCAGAAGAAAATCAGAAAAACAGGAATTCAGCGATTTAGAATTTTAAAGACCGCTTTCTTATACAAGTTTTACAGGAATTCAGAAAAATATGAAATTCCAGAAATTTCCAACTTTTCAAAAAGTTTGACCGTATCCGAAAAATTAGATATTCCAGAAAACTTGAAGATTCAAAACATCTGAAAACACGGGAATCAGAAACTGGAATATGAGTGTTTCAGCAATCGGAAATCCAGAAGTTTTCAAAAATTAAAACTAAGGCTTCCCTTCGGTCGGGAAATTTAGCCGACCGACCGACCGACCGCCGACCAAACCGACCGACAGCCGACCGAACTGTCCGATCGGACGGCACCTGACCGATCGGTCGTTTTCGTGCATTTGCGCGTCAACGTGTTTGCATACACAGCATTGTATTTTACGACAAACTATTCACTAAATGCCTCGTTTGTGAGCGCGCCGACTGACCGGTCAGCTCGGTCGGCTGGGTCGGTGGTCGGTCGGCGGTGGCCGATTTTCAACCGGCCGAAATGGAAGCCTTAATTAAAACATTGAAATCGACTGAAAATCGAAGAAAAAGAATGGAAAAAAATATAAAATATTCTTTCTTAAACTCTGAATTTCCGAGTTTAAGAAACCAAAAATTTCCTCAGTTTTCCTCCCACAAACTTCTACGTACTCTGTGCATAATTATAGATTTTATTCAATTTTCAATCACAAAACATGCCGACATTTTTTGATTCTAAGAAAAAATCCCGGACATAATGTTTATTTTTCCCAATGTGTTTCTGTGCTGATCTCTGTATTCAACAATTTATTTCCTAGTTTAAAAAATCAACAAACCACAAAAACTACAAAACATGATATCCAGAAAATTAAAATTTGATAAAAATAAAACATGAAAAGATTAAACAGAATTTCGATTTCTCAAAGAGTTATCCAAAATTTTATTATTCGGAGATTCTTTGAAGCCGAAGAATTTCCAGAAATTTCGGAAAATTGATGTCGAGTTGTCTTCTGAAAATTTGGTTACTGTAGTAATGTAAAATTAAAAAGATCGTTTGATCAACAAAAAAAATTGGGTCCAAAAATGTTGGATTTTAATGTATAAAACCCTCGATATCGCAATTTTTACAAAATTGTTAATATTTTTGAATTTTTTACTGAAAATCGGTCATTCTTAGCTTTGAAATGGTATCTTTCTATCAGTGTGGGGTTTCGAAAACCGATCTTCCGAAAGCGCCCCTCTTTCGAAACTTTTTTGAAAGAAAAGTATCGAAACGTGTCGAGAACTTTTGAAAGAGTTTCGAAACAGACCATTTTCGAAAGAATTGCTGCATCTGCTCAGCATCATTTCCGAATGTTGTTTGGTGGGCTGTGGCCTAACTTTCTTAACGTGAAATTTCTAGGCCACCAAAGTTTACGGACTAAAAATAGTCTAACATTCATCTGATGTGTTTTCGAGGTCATTTACCATGGTGGCCTAGAAAACTAATTTTGCAAAAGTTAGGTCATCATGCAAAAATGGACTAGAAATAACACCAAATGAATATCAGGTCATTTCTAAGCCAAAAAATTTGATGGCCTAGAAAACGCAACTTGTGAAAGTTAGGCCACAACGTCAAAACTGCCTAGAAATGACCTGATGTTCACCTGGTGCGTTTTCTGGGCCAATATTGGTATGGTGGCCTAACTTTTTCAAGTTGAGTTTTCTACGCCACCGACTTTTATGGCCTATAAATGACCTAGCATTAACCTGGTAGGTTTCCTAGACCATTTCGACATGGTGGTTTAACTTTGGCAAATTGAGTTTTCTAGGTCACCGACTTTTAAATTATTCTTAGATTTTCAAAAGAACTTTCGGAACTTCTTTCAAAACTGTTTCGAAACCGCACACTGATTTCTATCTTGTAATTTCCAAAATTTCTCAATTTTCGAATTCAAACAATACCTCTGGATCTGGAAAGCGGGGTCAATGGACTGCAAGCCAGGAATTTAAAAATTGTGGTACGGTACGGCATAATGAAATAAATTTGAAGAAATGGATCGAAAACACAAGGTAGAGTTCCCATAAATGACAAAGTGTACTGAGAAATGAGAATTTGAGATCCTGAAAAATTGAAAATCCTTCAAAAATATGGAAAAACAAACCTGAATACTTATTCCAGCAATAGAGAATAGTGACTGGCACATAACAACATAGCGGGAGTAATACTTGAAGACTTAGACCCTGAAAAATTTGCCCCAGTATTGAAATTTCGATTTTTTGAAAACCGTAAAACTTGTAATAGAAGACCCCCCCCCCCCCACACTGTCAAGTCGAAAAAGTCTGTTAAGTTTTGAAAAAAGTGACTCTTCAGTTAATCTCCTTTTTTATATCTTTGATAGGAATCTAGAAAAATCGGCTCAAAGCTAAAAGCTAGGAAGGCCTGCTATTATAGGTTTTACGGTATTTAAATTTCAGAACTTTTGAATTTATGTATTTCTGAATTTTTGAATTCCCGAAATTTCAATTATATTTTCAAGACTCATTCACCTTGATCAAAGTTTCAAACATGATTCTACTTGGATTTGAGGTCATTGAAGAAATATTTGATCTTAAAATTTTCAGTGCCACATGTCTCCAATAAATTCCAATGATTGGCACATAAAAAGTGGTCAAAGCCAGTGCAAAAGTATTGAAAACCATACAAAAATGATGGGAATTGGCGAACCCTCCGAAGTTTTTGTAAATCGAAAAATGATATTGAGGATGAAGAAGTTGGGTTTCCATGAAGACGTTGGCATGGTTTTGAGGGGGAATGTAGGAGAGAATCTGGAATTTTTGTTGAAAGTTTGGATATTTTGGAATAAGGCTTTCATTCGGTCGGGAAATTTAGCCGACCGACCGACCACCGACCGAGCCGACCGACAGCCGACCGAGCTGACTGATCGGACGGCACCTGGCCGATCGGTCGGCTGGCCGATCGGTCGACCGAAATGGAAGCCTCATTTTGGAAAGAGTTTGATGATTTAAGGTTGAGATTTAAGGTTTTCGGATTGGGATTTTGAAAGTTTTTAGAATTTCAGGATTTTTTAGAAATTCGGAAATTTAGGAATTAAAAAATATAAACATTTTCTAGAAGTTTCAGGATTGAATCGTTTAAAATTCGAATATTCTGGAATTTTCGGAAACTTCAAAAGAACTTGAGAAAATTGGGAAAAATGTTTAACATTCAAAATCTCCAAAATTCAAAATTTCCAGAATGTTTGAATCCTGAATTCTTGAATTTCAAAAAATTCAGAAACTCACCAACGTTGTCAACGGAATGAAATAGTGCCAGGAAAAATGCAAAGTCGCTCTATCCGACTTCTTCGAGTTCAAATATTTCAAAACCATTGTGCGATAACACAATGTGTGCAAATTGATCAGTCCGGATACCGTAATCATGTTCTAGAATTTAATTTTCATTTGAATTCTGATTGAAGTTTTAAAATTTTTTGTTTCAGTAAAATTGACATCTTTGGAATATAAAATCTTGAAATCTCAAAGACTAAACTCACCAATAAAAACACATAAAAGTGAAAACATAATTCTGGACCAATAAATTTACAGAATCCATCACAAAGAAGAGCCATCGATTCCTTATTATTGACATTTCTAAAACTTAACAAATTTTTTTGAATGACCTAGAAATCCAGTTTTTTCTAGGCCACCTATTTTTACCTGACTTGTGTAGCAAACGTCAACGTTGCCAAAATGAAATTTGCAGTTGTTGAAGGGTATAAAAAATATCGGAGTGTTGTCAGAATTCGACTGGTTCGATGATAAATTAAGATGTACATTGTCAGGTGTAAACATAGACAAATGAAATAAAAAGTCGACCAGTAGCAACGAAAGATAAATTGTAAAAGTTCCATTTGAAGTTTTTTAATTGGAAATTTGAAAATACTGAGATAAGAAACCAATAAAACAAAGCAGAATTCAAATAATTATAGCTTCGATTTTCTCAGAAATTTTCTGATGCTCAGTGAGCACAACGCTTTTTCAATTTTTTGAAAAAATTATAGCCTTCTCAAAAAAATATTTTCAAAAAAATCAAGAGTACAAATGTATTTATCTGATTTTTTGGCAAGTAAATTATAGGATTTGTGATCTACGATGTTTGAGAGAAACACTAGTTTCGTCATCAAATCAGAGCGGAGAAAATTGGAAAAGTTTTGGAGGGAGAGAATAAATTTTTGTTGGGGGAAGGGGGTAAGGAAATGGAAAATGTGCTAGAAATTTAGATGTCTGTAATAGAAGGACCCTTTAACTTGTAACTTTGAATTAATTTATCTCATTTCCTGTTAAAGATATGAAACGGTTGTCAACTGATAAGTTGTTTATCATAATATTAGGTTGAACAGAAAGTTTCTTTCTTTCTTGGCAATATTTTTGATCAAATTTTTCTTAAAGCTGAGGGGACTAGATCAATGAAAGTAGTGTTCATGGGCTCTTTTCTAGTTTAGAGGTCCCAAAAAAGAATAGAGGTCCCAAAAAAGAATAGAGGTCCGAAAAAAAAATTAGAGGTCCCAAAATAAAATAGAGGTCCCAAAAAAAATTAGAGTTCCCAAAAAAGTTTTGTGGTCCCAAGAAAAAATAGTGGTCCAAAACTTAAAAATGCACAGATACCGGAATAATGTACTAGAATTTGAATTGTGTAAGAATTTAAAGTTTTGAGGTCTTATAGCAAAATAATTGTTGATGATATATTTTATACTTTTAATAGGCTTCGGAATGCATATTTTCTGACAATTATCTAAGCCTGAGAGACAGCATAATCACGGAGTGATTACTGTATTGCCCAAATTTTCCTCATATGTAAATTGGGTTCATCGGCAAGATGCGAGAGAATTGGAGCTAAAATTGTTAGGAGTAGTCATGTCATCCTATAAGACCCTAAAACCTCAACTACTCGCACAGTTCCAATACTAGTACATTATTGCAACATGTGCGGGTTTTTGGTATTTTGGACATGTATTTTTTATTGGGACGTGTAAACTTATTGGGGACGTGTAATTGTTTTTTCGGACCTCTAAATTTTTTGGGNCCTCTAAACTAGAAAAGAGCCGCGATAGCTGCCTGGTAACGCTCCGGTAATTTTCTGATCTCATAGGCCTAGAACGAGGAGGGCCACGATTGAAAACGTGGGTTACCTCTTTTTTTATATCATCTTTTCACTTGAAGCATTTTCTATCAAGATGACGTTTAAGAGCCAAAACGACCATGCACCCGAAAGGGTAAGGTTTGGAGAGCACGGTGAATACAAAAGGATAGCTCAGCCAAACGACATGAATTTTTGGCTGATCCCTCTAGTCACGGGCGACCTCGCACTGTCGTGAAAGTAAAACTAGGGGTTTTCTCCTTATTCCGATTCGGCTGCCAGAATCAATTTATCTAATTAGAAACTATACAATGCGGCAGTTATAATGATACTTTAATCTAAAAATTCCCAGTCACCATTCTTTGGACAGACCATCAAACTCATAGCATCCACCTTTTCAAGTGAACTTTTGGTTTCGGAAAGTCCCAGAGCTACAGTACCGCACGGCAAATAATATTGGAAATCGAGTTTTTCTGATTTTTTCTGATTTATTGGCGCTTTTCTCGATACAGGGAAAAATCAGATTTTTTGGCATTAAAAAATTCTGGGTCTAAAATTTTTTTTCCAAATTTTTCTAAAAATTTTGGTGCTCAAAGACCTTCCTAAGGCACATATGTGGTAAAAAATTTAGAAAATTTGACAAGAACGTTTTCGCACACGACATGTTTGAAAATTTAAAATCGAAAAATCGATATCTGAAAATCGATTTTTTCAAAAAAAATTTTTCTCCTTAGATGCCCCCTGGGGGTCTCCTTATAGGGTCCAAATCTGATCCGAATCGATTCACGCACTCCAGAGTTATGGCCGATAATAAATTTTGAAATTTCAACTTTGAGTTACTGTAGCTCCGCCCCCTTTTGACTTTTGGCCAAAAAAAATATACTATTTTTTATACTATTTTTTTTCGATGTGCAACATTTTAGGCAAGTTTTGGCCAGATCCGAGCTGACGTCCTCCGTGCCTCATCCTAAATGGCGCAGGCAAAGCCTGCGCCTAAGCTAATCTTTTCTCAATCTTCGGTTCGTCCATTGACGAACCGAAAGTACTGATTTAGGATGATATGGTTAGTCCTAAACAGCCGGCGTAATGAAAGTTATGA